TATGATGACTATGATGCCCAGACGAACACCTCAGATGTTGAAAAAATCAAGACTCTTCGTTTTTACTGTGTTCAATACTTGTAAAGTACGATTTAACATTCCGATACGAAGCCTGAGTAAACGCTCTCGGAGCGTCTAGTTTTAACAAGTAAGTCGTCTTTATTGTCTAACAAAAAGCAATATGTCATGTGAAACACAATTCATACCAGAAGGAAAACGTCGGATGCAATACAATTTCTAATAATACATCCGATAGGATAAAAACCTTACAGTATTAGCTGAGCGTACTTACTCCTTTTTTACGTGACGCGTGATTGGTTAAAAAAATCCTCCGTGATGCGTGATTTAATAGAAAAATTCGCGTGATGTGTGATTGCAACCCCCCCCTCCTTTGCCACCCTCTTAATATATCATTTCTTGTATTCGAAGACTCGATTGATCCAGCCCACCCCAGTCTCCCTCGAGATCGTATATCAAATGCAAAAGTGAAACAACTGAAACTCCAATATCTGTATTCCCTTGACACTCGAAGAACATATTTAGATATCTCGACAGAATTGGTAGTTCACACAAGTAATTGGGAATCACGCCATAATTTCTTGGCTCCCGAAGAAGTAAACAAAAGAGGTTTACACATCAGCTTTGCTTTGTTTCCAGAATCAATCAATAATGAATATACAGAATATTTCATTGGAATACAGCGCGAATACTTCAAGTGACTCCACAGACGATTGCGTCCTTCCGCAGACACATGGCGTGCTTCTTATGATAGTTAATTCTATAGCAGCCGTGGTCGGAACCTGTGGAAACATTATGGTTTGTATTGCAGTGCTCACGAGCACTCGTCTTCGTCGCAGCTCTAACTTCCTTCTTCTCAGTCTGGCCATTGCTGATTTAGTAGTGACAATGATCTGCGAGCCTTTGGTAGCTGTTATAGTCGCTAAGAGAGCGTTTCTCCATGATTGTGCATCCAGCCTGGAGCTTGCCTACGTTATCAGCTCAAACCTCTCGTGCTCTGCATCAGTCATGCACCTGGCAGCCATCAGTGTGGACCGTTTTCTTGCCGTCGTCTTCCCTCTCCAGCACAAACGGATCATGAACAGTTACGGTTTGAAGATCATGTTAGGAGTTGTCTGGGGCGTATCTATCATTTTCGCTTCATGCCGCATTCCCTTCCTCAAGGAGACATCTTATCTGGTTCTCGTGATGTTTGTTGTAAGTTATGGGTTGATAATTATCTGCTACGCGACCATCGTGACTTTTCTTGTCAAAGAAAAGCGAAGAAAAAATGAACTCAGAGCACCACCCACAGTTGTTGTCAATTCCAAAATCGAGCGCCGCGTGGCGTTTACACTGGCAATGGTAATAGCTATCTTCACCGCATGTTGGCTGCCGATGATTGTCGTGTTCTTTGCTGCTGGTAAATCCCTTGTTAAGATGTATGGCACTGCTTACATGTGGATCCGATCCTTGGCACTTTCAAATTCAGCCATGAACTTCATCATCTACAGTGCAAGGATTCGTGACTTCCGGGAAGCTTACGCTCTAATATGCCGAAAGACTTTCCACTGCTCGTAATAATTCAGTCGTGAGTATCAAGGCTGGGCATCCGAACTATCTGTATACGTTATAGTCAATCGTTAACTTTTGAGGAAAGACGGGCAAAAGCAATGAGAAAATTAACCGTGAGGGAATGAATCAAAAGGATGCAATGTAAAAACGTGAATTGGTAAATTTAGAGGTAAACAGACAACAGATATATTAAGAGCTTTGAGAGATCTAAAGACACCGGTTCTAAATATATCATTTCCTTTCTGCTGACATAAAAGTCGACGAAGCAAATAATGCAGTGTCCATATTAGAAATTTAGAAACATCGCCCAATATTTTATGTAAAAATTAACCCAATTTGCTACAGCGGAAGTAAGTCGATATCGATTTACTCAAATACACCTGTATTTGAGTGTGCGGGGTTTTCAAAGTTTATATCACACTGAAAACCAGAAATGTTTCATATTGTTTCGTGATAGGTTGCTTAGCATTTGATCAGTAATTTTTATTATAGCTAGTTTGAACAGTATTGAATAATAAGGGCTCTTATACTGTAGAGTGTCATGGAAAAATAGCGGGGTATGGCGCTCAATAAATGTATTTTAATTTTTTCTTTTTTTAATTCAAAAGAGACACAAACACAAATATGGGCGGCCGTCACCGCAAAAAGTACAGGCATTATAAATGGTTTGTAATAAACAGAAATGGTCTAATCGTCTTTTAAGAGATCTATTTAAACTACAAATGAACAAGTTGCCTTTGGCGAAATGAAATTTTCAAACCAAAAATGATTTATACAATTCAAGAAACTGTGCAGCCACCCTTGTTGAACTGATTCAATAGAAAAAACAGGAGTGGCTCAGAGTTAACTGAAATGGTTCAGTGTCGAAATGACAAAGTCAAGTCTTGAATGGATCAGCGTGCTGTGACATTCATTGCTATGCCAAACAGTCCAACTAACTGCACTTTGGTTCAGCGACTTGACACAAACGGTTCAGAGTAGTGTGAAATGGCTTAAGTTATCGCTTCATTGTTCTCGCTTAGATGTTAAGGATCGCAAAGTATTTCATCGTGAAAATTGTGGGCCATTTAATAAAACCTGCACGCAAGCGTTAACTCCGCGTTTGCATTGGCACTTGATTTTCTGTTGATTGCTATTAGCCAGTTTCAAATCATTCTTTTATTCTTTTCAGTTTCTTAATGTAAAAACTGCTGTACTTAAAATGGAGAATTTTTACCATATCAAACTTACTTCCCATAATTAGCACGACTATTTGCTCCAATTGGCGTCCAGGCTGACAACGTTTTTTTCCTACTGCGCTTGCGCATTAGAGTATCAATCGCATTAGGAACAATTTAAATTTGTAACCATGGCGGCTGCAAGGGAAAGGAGAGTCCCAAAACGATACTCCGACGAGGTCTTTTCAAGGGGGGGGGGGGGGGGTGGTTTATTCAGAAGAAGATAAGAACAAAAACCAACGACCGTAAACTTTATCCTGTCGTTGTGACAGCCGTAGACAAAGTCATAAAACGAGTGAAAATTCACTACGTTGGAATCTTTGAAATATTTTTTTGCGATACTTGCAGCTTCTCTCTGTGTCTTCGAGTTTTTATGTATTAATATAAAATAGGACCGTCATAGTTTCGAAACAAATTAGTTTCAGGCATCTTACAAATGCTTGTAATGCATTATTATATGGCTTGCCTAAGTATCAGTTAAAAAGATTGCAGTATGTACAAAACACGGCGGTTAGGGTTGTGTGTCAAATGAGTAAGTTTCAGCATATCACACCTGTTTTGCAGAAGCTTCACTGGCTACCGATCCAATACCGTATTATTTTCAAGATTCTGCTTCTAGTGTATAAATCACTGAATGGGGCATCGCCTAGTTATTTAGCTCAGAAACTACATTATCGTTCTCCTACTAGATCATCTAGGTATGTTAGTAATGAACCTTTAATGCAACCTAGATCGTATACTAAGACCTACGGAGACAGAGCATTCGCTATTCATGCGCCAAGAGAATGGAACTTAGTACCCTATGAAATTCGGAAGTCTAACACTATCTCAATTTTTAAAAGAGCACTTAAGACGTTCCTGTTTAGTAAATATACTAATAACAGACCATTATTTTTAGAGATTTATACATATCGCTTTAGATTTAATTTTCTTTTTTAATCATGGTAAATTTTAGCCGTGTTTAAGTATCATATAATAAGATGTGGCTGGCTTTAGTTTTGTTTTTCTTTTTTAATCAGTATGAATTTTAGCTTTAATGTTTAAGTATCATATAGTAGGATATGGTTGTAAATTTGTAAATTTTTATTAATAATGTATGATGTTGTAAAGCGCCTTGAGCATAGGATATGAGCGCTATATAAATAAAGTTATTGTTATTATTATTATTATTATTATTATTAATCAGTAAGCCAATGAGCATTGTGTGCTCGCGCTATTAACGTGTTTGTTTTGTCCTTTGATTGCATTTATCGACGTGCAGGTCAAAGTCCCAATATTCTTTCAGGCAAAACTATGAACAACTCTTCGGCGATCAAAGTTAATTCATCAATCCCCAGCGCTGAAGTTTGTTGCCTGCCCCTGTCCCATGGCAGTGCTATCATGGTAGTTATATTTGCTTGATTGCATAGCAGTACTCACCAAGCATTGTCTTCGCCGATGCTCGAATATACCATTGCCGCTTACTTTGGCCATTGCTGACTTGATCGTAACAATGATTTGCGAGCCTTTGGTTGTGGCAATAGTCGGGAAAAGAACCTTTCTACACGAGTGTGCGCTTAGTCTTGAACTCGTCTACTCGCTTTTAGCCAACTTTGCTGTTCCTCGTCGTTTATGCATCTTGTGGCTATCAGTACAGACCGCCTCTTAGCTGTCACCTTCCCTCTTCGTCACGGTCGGATCATGAAGAACAACGGCTTGAAAATCATGCTGGCTACAATGTGGGTTGTCGCTTTTGCATTCGCCACAGTTCGACAGCTCTTCCCGAAAAAAACTTATTACTTAGCTGCAGTAATGTTTGCCATTGGTTATTCTCTCATGTTCGTTTGTTACTTGTCGATATTGCTTACTTTGGTCAGGGAAAGGAAACGAAAGGGCCGTCTAGGAGCGCAATCATCCATTGATGTCAATTTGAAAGTCGAACGGCGTGTTGCACTAACACTGGCAATTGTGATCATTTTGTTTTCTGTCAGCTGGTTTCCGTTGGTTGATGTTTTTTTTCATTACAGGAAAATCTCTGGTTGAAAGTTATGGTCCAGCATACATGTGAATTAGATCTTTGGCTCTCTCTAACTCTGCTATGAACTTTGTTATTTACAGCACAAGAATTCGAGACTTCCGCGATGCCTATATCTCGATATCCCGCAAGATGTTCGGTTGCTGAGTTGAAAATGCAAACACCAGTTCTATTGTAATGGTAGAGCTTCTGATATTATGTCCTGTGGTAAAGTGATCAGTTGCAATGATCAATTTATTATAATAATATTAAAAATCATACGCATATGTTAAGCTTATGAATTATATCCAAATATTTTCCTACTTTCGATTCATAGCTGGAAATCTCGAAACTGATTAATGTAAAGAACGCAATGAGTCAACCGTAACTTGCATTCGAACACATAAAAAACCCCGAATGACTTTATCCATTCGGCATTTTTCCATTCGAAGCATTGAAACATGTCAAAGCAATCCGGTTGCGTGTAGAAGAACCTTAATTTTGCTTCAAACTGGTCTTTGCAAATGCAAAGGAAAGGTGTACAGAGGGTAAAGATAAAATAAAATGAAATATTAAATACGCCGGTTCAGCAGCTTACTCAATTTTCAATTTTTCCTTGATAAAGGCCTATTCTCCCAGGTTGCCACAAAAAGCCTATTACTTGTAACAGGTATCCAGTAGTCATAAGTAGTTCAGTTGCTGGAAAAGCCTTCCATATATTATACAGTGACAAAACTTTACATCACAGTGTATTGATGCCTTAGCCTCGGCTAGAAAATGTTTGAATCGGGCATTTGAAAGGTGTCTGACTTCGCAGCACTTGTGTTGCTTCAATCAGTTAATTCCCTATTTTCAAATACAGGCCTAGTACTGCAGGCCAACCACTCATATAGTGCTCGTGTTTCTCTTACCTGATTATTCCAATCCTTTAAACATTCAAATTTGTTTATTAATGAGGTTGCACGGGAAGTCTGTCACAACTGTCGTGAGCTATCAACTTATGTTGCAGAAATAGCGATTATCCGTGGAAAGTGCGCACGAACGATTTTTATTCACGAATCAGCGTTGAATCAAAAAAAAAGAACGACTGAGCGCAGCGAACGGGTGAGTTTTTTGATACACCGCAACGAGTGACTAAAAATCATTCGTGTGCACTTTCCATGATATGATGTTTTTATTTTATACACACAGAGATTTACACTTTTAAGTACGAAGCGAACGACTGTGAAAATACATCGTTCGTCCAATCAGAGACACGAACAATAGGATTTCACAAGGTAAATCTCAGTGTGTATGGAGTAAAATCTTTTTCAATACTTTCTGACATTAACCTTACATTCTCATCCTTTTTTTTTAATTCGTTCGGTGTAAGAAAGAGAAGACATCAGTCGCGGCTATTTTTTCGTGAGCGTTGAAGGGAATCAACCATTTTGCACACATTTTGCTCATATTTAAGGTGAAAATGGGGCAAAGGCCATCTCGTTGTGTAGGGGACGAACAGCGGAGAGTTGTACAAGCAAAACTTCACTTGCTGATTTTAAAATATCAGTTTAATTTTGGAAATCAAGTTATAGAAAATGGCTGAAACTGAAACAACAGCTTCGCGTTGTATGCTTACATGTCTCGAGAATTCAGCCGCCGGCACTTTCTCTTAGAAGAACAACAAGAGTTTCGAGTCTCTATTTCAGCACGTAGTCGGCTATACCCGACTTTTATAGACCATTCATAAACCTAAGATAAGTTTAACTCCTCAGTTGCATTCTGGTGGGGAACACTTTTAAAAGACCTTGAAAAAAAAAGTTGGGACTGCGTGTGAGAGTTGCTAAAACTGACGTTTTGAGCTTTGGGCCTTCGTCATCGTACCATTTGCTCTTACGATGGATCCGCTCACTCTCAGAAATGGCCAAATTGGATTGAACTTTCCTTGAAATGTCTTTTCATTTTCAGGCGGAGGGCTGCTAAGGAGAAGCAGGGTTTTTAGCTTTTACCAAAAAAGCTCATTTACTTGAACTATATAATACTAATAGCCTTCCAGTCATGAGGCGAAAATATCAAATTACTCAGCATGATTCTCTCTTTTCTCACGGAACTCCACTGTCATCTGATGCAACACCAAACAAAAAGTCAATTGAAATAGTAGGAACTTCAAATTTCTTGATTAGTCTTAATATGTCATCTCTTGTATTCGAAGACTCGATTGATCCAGCATTATCGTAAGACACCATCAAGAGTGCTAGCCCATCCCAGTCCCCCTCCTGCCCATCCCTGTACCCGCCTACTTCTCGCTGCAAAAGTCACCCGTGATTTTCAATATCAAAACAATATATTCCTGCCTTATTTGGACCATAGATCAGTGTTAACGTCACGGTCCAGGTACTGGAAAGATCGTTTATCAAATGCAAAAGTGAAACAACTGAAACTCCAATATCTGTATTCCCTTGACGCGCGAAGAACATATTTAGATATCTCGACAGAATTAGTAGTTAACGCCATAATTGCTTGGCTCTTGAGGAAGTAAACGACAGAGGTTTGTACATCAGCTTTGCTTTGTTTCCAGAATCAATCAATAATGAATATACAGAATACTTCATTGGAATACAGCGCGAATACTTCAATTGACTCCACAGACGATTGCGTCCTTCCACAGACGCATGGCGTGCTTCTTATGATAGTTAATTCTATAGCAGCCGTGGTCGGAACCTGTGGAAACATTATGGTTTGTATTGCGGTACTCACGAGCACTCGTCTTCGTCGCAGCTCCAACTTCCTTCTTCTCAGTCTGGCCATTGCTGATTTGGTTGTGACGATGATCTGCGAGCCTTTGGTAGCTGCTATAGTCGCTAAGAGAGCGTTTCTCCATGATTGTGCATCCAGTCTGGAGCTTGCTTACGTTATCGGCTCAAACCTCTCGTGCTCTGCATCAGTCATGCACCTGGCAGCCATCAGTGTGGACCGTTTCCTTGCAGTCGTCTACCCTCTCCGCCATAGACAGATCATGAACAGTTACGGTTTGAAGATCATGTTAGGAGTTGTCTGGGGCGTATCTATCATTTTCGCTTCATGCCGCATTCCCTTCCTCAAGGAGACATCTTATCTGGTTCTCGTGGTGTTTGTTGTAAGCTATGGCTTAATAATTATCTGCTACGCGACCATCGTGACTTTTCTTGTCAAAGAAAAGCGAAGAAAAAATGAAATCAGAGCACCACCCACAGTTGTTGTTAATTCCAAAATCGAGCGCCGTGTGGCGTTTACACTAGCAATGGTAATAGCTATCTTCACCGCATGTTGGCTGCCGATGATTGTCGTGTTCTTTGCTGCAGGTAAATCCCTTGTTAAGATGTATGGCACTGCTTACATGTGGATCCGATCCTTAGCACTTTCAAATTCAGCCATGAACTTCATCATCTACAGTGCAAGGATTCGTGACTTTCGGGATGCTTACGCCCTGATATGCCGAAAGACTCTCCACTGCATGTAATAATTCAGTTGTTTTAGAGAGTATTAAGGCTGGGGATACGAACTAACTGTACATGTTATAGTCAATCGTTAACTTCTGAGTAAAGATCGGAAAAAGCAATGAGAAAATTAACGATGTAGAATGAATCAAGAGGATGCAACACAAACGATGTGAATAAGTAAATTTAGAGGTAAACAGACAACAGATATTAAGAGCTTTGAGAGATCTAGAGACACCGGTTCTAAATATAGTATTTCCTTTTCAGCTAACATAAACGTTAAGGAAATTTAAGAAACATCGCCCAATATTTTATGTAAAAATTAACCCAATTTGCTACAGCGGAAGTAAATCGATATCGATTTACTCAAATACACCAGTATTTGAGTGTGCGGGGTTTTCAAAGTTTATATCACACTGAAAACCAGAAATGTTACATATAATTTCGCGATAGGCTGCTTAGCATTTGATCAATGATTTTTATTATAGTTAGTTTGAACATTATTGAATAATGCAGTGTAAAAAGGGCTATTTTACCTTAGAGTGTCAAGGAAAAATAGCGGGGTATGACGCTCAATAAATGTATTTTAATTTTTTCGTTTTTTATTCAAAAGAGACACAAACATAGACATGGGCGGCCGTCACCGCCAAAATTACAGGCATTGTAAATGGTTTATGATAAACAGAAATGGTCTAATTATCTTTTAAGAGATTTATTTAAAGTACAAATGGACAAGTCGCCTTTGGTGAAATGTAACGTTCAAACAATAAATGGTTTATACAATTCAGAAATTGTGTAGCCACCCTTGTTGAACTGATTCAATAAAAACGCGCGTGGCCCAGTGTTAACTGAAATGGTTCAGTGTCGAAATGTCAAGTCTTGAATAGATCAGCGTACTGTGACATTCATTGCTATGCCAAACGGTCCAACTAACTGTACTTTGGTTCAGCGACTTGACACAAACGGTTTAGAGTAGTGTGAAATGGCTTAAGTTATCGGCAAATGGTTAATCGTAAGCCACTTAAGCGTGATTACTATTAGCCAGTTTCAAATTGTTATTTTAATCTTTTCAGTTTCTTAATGTGAAAACTGCTGTACTTTAAATGGAGAATTCTTACCATGGTTAAGCCGCAACTATTAGAAACTTGACGGTCTCATGATAAAATAAGAATCTGAAACAAAAGGAATGATAAAAATACAGATAAAAAGCATCATTTTACGCGACAGCACATTGACAGTCTAGACAGTCATAACCCTAGCTAAGAAACGTGATAAAGATAATTAGGGTATAAATTTGTTCGCTAACAAGCTCAAATAGGCAAACACAAAAAAAGATTCTTACCAGAATAAGGCTCACTGAGTCTAGTAGACGAGGCTATGGAAATAAGAAATAATTTCTTCCTTTGTTGAACTTTGAGTGGACGGCGCGGTGAATACCTCATTCTGGCGAATTTCGCGCCAAATTCGTTCTGAATGACGTAAGTTGTGACGTAAGACCTGACATAGACTGTTCGATTTCAAACTTGACTTATCCATTTTGGTGGTTACGGCGTACACCAATTGCTGTAAAACAATTGCTGTAAAACACATTTCGCTTTGTTCTAAACTAGTTGTCGTCACGCTAAGCTATTTGGGCTCACGCTAAACCATTTCACTTTACGGTAAGCAGATTGATGCAGATTGATACTAAACCATTACAGCTTACGATTAACTATTTGCCAATTCACACTGCTCTGAACCGTTTGTGTCATGTCACTGAACCAAAGTACCGTTAGTTGGACCGTTTGGCAAAGCAATGAATGTCACAACACGCTGATCCATTCAAGACTTGACTTTGTCATTTCGACACTGAACCGTTTCAGCGCTGGGCCACTCGCGTTTTTATTGAATCAGTTCATCAGGGGTGGCTACACATTTTCTGAATTGTACAAACCATTTCTTGTTTGAATATTCCATTTGAAGTTTAAATAAATCTCTTAAAAGACAATTAGACCATTTCTGCTTATTATGAACCATTTAAGATGCCTGTAATTTTAGTGGTGACGGCCGCCCATACACAGATTACTGATCGAAGGTGGCTATTTCAGAAGAAAATTCAGTGATAAAAATGTCAAGCAAGTTACGCTAAATATCAGGTCAAAGGTAGTCGAGGCTCTAAATAATTAGCGGAAAAAGTAGCGTTGGAAAATTTTCGGCTACATTCAGCCCAGAGCACATGTCTGTCGAAGAAATTCTGCACATTTAACCCCAAATATTTCAATGTCGATTTCGTTTACTCTCTTTCATAAATCTCTCATGACTAAGGGTAGGCTCTGACGGTTTGGATCGATATTTTAAGGTGAAATTACTAGTTGGTACCTCCACAGAGAGTGAAAGGATAAAAATAAGTATTGGAGCTACTTGTAATTAAAAAAAAAAAAAAGAGATGGTTCAGGAACTACCAAATCAAAAGTACCAAATCCTTTTCCGAGTCCCTGTCGAAACATCGCTACAACAACTACTATTTTCTTTTATTTATATTGTTTAATTTAATTATTTTTTGGTTCGCTATTAAGCGGCCACCCATAGGGAGTAGTGGGGTGACCGCTTATTATAGACTGACCAGCAAATAAATTGCGTGGTTTTCGTGCATAAGTAAGTTTATTGATAGTTTATGTAAGCATTTCCGCTTAAGTGACCGTCCAATACAGATGAAAGACAGTACAAACAGGCCGTTGGGTTCAGTCATGGGTGACCACGACCGCTTAATAGAGGTGACCGCTTAACAGAGATGAAAGTTACAGTACCTGAGGGAAAAATTTCTTTGAAAAGCGACCGCTAGAGATAGTAAAGTAGAGATGGTCAGAAAACTTACTTCCTGTAAAACAGAACTAAGAATAAGTTATAGTAATTTAAAACCAATCATTCTAAATAAGATAAGAAATAACCATATATATTGAATTAAAAAACACCTTTGCACTAGCCTTCAGAACATCTGTGCTCAAAAAATGGTCAGAATGTCATAAAAAGAGATCCATATCACCATTTGGCTTATTAATATCATTACATCTTACAAAAGAACTGAGCTGAAACATCCTGTCTGCAAAGATATTGACATCAACATTCTTTAATTCTAAATTCTATGTTGTGTTTTCTTACACTCAAGCAATAAAAAAATATTTCTTAGGTCCTACGTATAAGAAGACAAGTTCAACTGAACAGCTTAAATCTGTCAGTGAGATTCTGGTAACGTTCAGTCTCCTCTTGATCATTCCTTGTCGGATTTCAAGTCAGTGCCACACAAGTTATCATTAGCTTTCATTATCGTGCTGTTGCAGAAAATAGATAAATCGTTGTCATCTTTGACAATGAATTTTTTTTGTCTTGTCGAGGGAGGACTTGTGTGTGACATTACCCTGTCACGTGAGCACCGCCTCTGATTTCTCGACCAAGGTAGATTTATGTTAATATTATTTAGAAATCAATCGATTAAAAAAAAATACAGCTTTGACCAGGCTTGAAGTGAAACAACACTTGATATCTTTTTTCCAGAGTTCACAACAACGAATGAAACTCGCTACCCTTAAACTATATGTTGATAAGGCAGCCGACCCTGCAATTGAAAGTGTAAGTTGGCTACCGTAGAGAGTTTCTAAAGCTGATGTTTCAAGCTTTAGGCCTTCGTCATCGAACCATTCGCTCTTACGTTGGATCCTCTCACTCTCAGAAATGGCCAAAATGGAACTTTTCCTTGAATTATCTTTTCGTTTTCAAGCGGAGAGCCGCTATGGAGAAGCAGAAGTTTTAGCTTTTACCGGATAAAGCTCATTCACTTGAACTATGTACAATAATGGAAATATTTATGTTGTCTAGGAGGCTTATACACGTTTTTGGTGACCCATAACCTTCCAGTCATGAGGCGAAAATATCAAATTATTCGGCTAGATTTTCTCACGGAACTCCACTGTCCACTGTCATTATGTCATCCGATGGAACACCAAACAAAATGCAATTTAAATGGTAGGAACTTCAAATTTCTTGATTTGTCTTAATATATCATCTCGTGTATTTGAACAATCAAGAGTGCTAGCTCACCCCTGTCCCCCTCCTCCCTTCCCCCTCCCCCACCCCCTCCCCCGCCTACATCCAACTGAAAAGATCACTTGTGATTTTCAAAGTCAAAACATAACTTCCTGCCTTTCTTGGAATACAAATCAGTGTGTACGTGACGGTCCATGAACTGGAAGGATCGTATATCGAATGCAAAAGCGAAACAACTGAAAAAATATCTGTTATTCCCTTGTTGCGCGAAGAACATCTGTAAATATCTCGACAGAATTAGTAGTTCACACAAACAATTGGGAATCCCGTCATAATTTCTTGGCTCTTGAGAAAGTTAACAGCAGAGGATTACGCATCAGCTTTGCTTTGTTTCCAGAATTAATCAATAATGAACATACAGAATATTTCACTGGAATACAGCGCGAATACTTCAAGTGACTCTACAGACGATTGCGTCCTTCCGCAGACGCATGGCGTGCTTCTTATGATAGTTAATTCTATAGCAGCCCTGGTCGGAACCTGTGGAAACATTTTGGTTTGTATTGCGGTGCTCACGAGCACTCGTCTTCGTCGCAGCTCCAACTTCCTTCTTCTCAGTCTGGCCATTGCTGATTTAGTAGTGACGATGATCTGCGAGCCTTTGGTAGCTGCTATAGTCGCTAAGAGAGCGTTTCTCCATGATTGTGCATCCAGCTTGGAGCTTGCTTACGTTATCAGCTCAAACCTCTCGTGCTCTGCATCAGTCATGCACCTGGCAGCCATCAGTGTGGACCGTTTCCTTGCCGTTGTCTACCCTCTTCGCCACAGACGGATCATGAACGGTTACGGTTTGAAGATCATGTTAGGAGTTGTCTGGGGCGTATCTATCATTTTCGCTTCATGCCGCATTCCCTTCCTCAAGGAGACATCTTATCTGGTTCTCGTGGTATTTGTTGTAAGCTATGGGTTGATAATTATCTGCTACGCGACCATCGTGACTTTTCTTGTTAAAGAAAAGGGAAGAAAAAATGAAATCAGAGCACGACCCACAGTTGTTGTAGATTCCAAAATCGAGCGCCGCGTGGCGTTTACACTAGCAATAGTAATAGCTATCTTCACCGCATGTTGGCTGCCGATGATTGTCGTGTTCTTTGCTGCTGGTAAATCCCTTGTTAAGATGTATGGCACTGCTTACATGTGGATTCGATCCTTGGCACTTTCAAATTCAGCCATGAACTTCATCATCTACAGTGCAAGGATTCGTGACTTTCGGGATGCTTACGCTCTAATATGCCGAAAGATCATCCACTGCACGAAATAATTCAGCCGTTGTAAAGAGTATCAAGGCTGGGGATACAAACTAACTGTACATATAACAGTCAATCGTGAATTTCTAGGGTTAATAACACACTGAAGAACCAGAAATGTTATTACGGTATTATTCCGTGATAGGTCGCTTAGTATTTGATAAATAATTTTCATTATAGTTAGTTTGAACAGCATTGAGTAACGCAGTGTAGTAAAGCTCCATTTTACTGTAGTGTCATGGACAATTAGCAAGGTATGGTGCTCCATAAATGTATTTTAATTTCTTATTTTAATTCAAAAGAGACGCAAAGACAGACAGATTACTGATCGAAGGTGGTTATTTAAGGGGAAAATTGATTAACATGACAAGCAAGTTAACACGGATAAATATCAGGTCAAAGGTAATCGAGGCCTTAAGTAATTGGCTTCGCTCTGACGAAGGGCTAACGCTCGAAACGTCAGCTTGTAAACTATCTACGTTATCAACTCCTTGATAATATCAAATTACCCTGTTATACTCTTCCACCGACGCAGCACCACAGTTTCTTCAAAAACTAACCTCCCTTAGTAAGTTTATTCATAGTTTGTGTAAGTATTTCCGCTCAAGTGACCGTTCAATACATGCGAAAGACAGTGTAAACAGGCTGTTGGGTTCAGTCATGGGTGACCACGACCGCTTAATAGAGATGACCGCTTAGTAGAGGTGAAAGTTACAGTACTTGAGGGAAAAAGCCAAAAATTTTCCTTGAAAACCGACCGCTAAATACAGGGTAATTGCTTGATATAGTGCCGCTAAATACAGGTTCGAATAAAGTTCTAGGCTGGAAATTCTTTGTTTCCCAACCACTTATCATCAAAAATAGACAGGAGGGTGACAAATATGCAAACAAATAATATTAAAACTGTGAATGTAGAGATGGCCCGAAAACTTACTTCCTGTAAAACAGAACTAAGAAAAAGTTATAGTAATTAAAAAAAAACATTCTCAGTAAGATAAGGAAAAAACCATATATATTGAATTAAAAAACATCTTTGCACTAGTCTTCAGAATATCTGTACTTAAAAGATGACCAGAGTGCCATAAAAAACATCCATATCATCATTTGGTTTATTAATATCATTACATCTTACAAAAGAACTGAGCTGAAACATCCTATCTGCAAAGATATTAACATCAACAGTCTTCAGTTCTAAATCCTTTGTAGTGTTTTCTTACACGCAAGCAATAAACAAATATATGTTAGGTCCTTCGTATAAGAAGACAAGTTCAACTGAACAGCTTAAATCTGTCAGTGAGATTCTGGTAAAGTTCAATCTCCTCTTGATCATTCCTTGTCGGATTTCAAGAGAGTGTCACACAAGGTATCATGGCTTTCATTGTTGTGCTTTTGCAGTTCTATGTAAGATATAGGAAGGAAAATAAATTGTTGCCATCTTTGACAATTAATTTTTTTTGCCTTGTCGAGGGAGGACCGTGTGTGTGACATTACCCTGTCACGTGAGTACCTCTTTTGATTACTCGACGAAGGTAGATTGACGTTAATACCATTTATTTAAAAAAAAAACTACAGCTTTGACCAGGCTTGAAGTGAAACAACACTTGATATGTTTTTTCCAGAGTTCGCTACAACGAATGAAATTCGCTACCAAACATGACAACCTTTTAATCATGTTGATAAGGCAGGCGACCCTGCAATTGGAAGTGTAAATTGGCTACCGTAAAGAGCGGCCAAGCTTTAGGCCTTCGTCATCGAACCATTCGCTCTTACGTTGGATCCTCTCACTCTCAGAAATGGCCAAAATGGAACTTTTCCTTGAATTGTCTTTTCATTTTTAAGCGGAGAGCCGCTAAGGAGAAGCAGGGTTTTTACCTCTTACCAGAAAAAGCTCATTCACTTGAAATATGTACAATAATGGAAATATTTATGTTGTCTAGGAGGCTTAAAATTCTAACATCACGTTTTTGGTGACCCATAACCTTCCAGTCGTAAGGCGAGAATATCAAATTATTCGGCTTGATTCTCTCACGAAACTCCACTTTCATCCGATGAAACACCTACCAAAAGACAATTGAAATGGTAGGAACTTCCAATTTCTTGATTTGTCTCGTGTATTCGAAGACTAGATTGATCCAGTATTATCATAAGATACCATCAGGAGTGCTAACCCACCCCAGTCACCCTTCCCTCCCAACCCAGTCCCCCTCCCCTACTCCTGCCTCCGCCTACTTCTTACTGAAAAGGTCACTCGTGATTTTCAAGATCAAAACAATAGATTCCTGCCTTTCTGAGAATATAGATCATTGTTTACGTCACGGTTCGTGTACTGACAAGATCGTATATGAAATGCAAAAGTGAAACAACTGAAACTCCAATATCTGTTATTCCCTTAACGCGCGCAGAACATATTTAGATATCTCGCCAGAATCAGTAGTTCAGACAAACAATTGGGAATCACGTCATAATTTCTTGGCTCTTGAGGAGGTAAAACAGCGGCTTTGCTTGTCTTCAGCTTTGCTTTGTTTCCAGAATTAATCAATAATGAATATACAGAATATTTCGCTGGAATACAGCGCGAATACTTCAAGTGACTCCACAGACGATTGCGTCCTTCCGCAGACACATGGCGTGCTTCTTATGATAGTTAATTCCATAGCAGCCGTGGTCGGAACCTGTGGAAACGTTATGGTTTGTATTGCGGTACTCACGAGCACTCGTCTTCGTCGCAGCTCCAACTTCCTTCTTCTCAGTCTGGCCATTGCTGATTTGGTAGTGACGATGATCTGCGAGCCTTTGGTAGCTGCCATAGTCGCTAGGAGAGCGTTTTCCCATGATTGTGCATCCAGCTTGGAGCTTGCTTACGTTATCGGCTCAAACCTCTCATGCTCTGCATCAGTCATGCACCTGGCAGCCATCAGTGTGGACCGTTTCCTTGCCGTTGTCTACCCTCTTCGCCACGGACGGATCATGAACGGTTCTGGTTTGAAGATCATGTTAGGAGTTGTCTGGGTCGTACCTATCATTTTAACTTCATGCCGCATTCCATTCCTTAAGGAGACATCTTATCTAGTCTTCGTGATGTTTGTAATAAGCTATGGGTTGATAATTATCTGCTACGCGACCATCGTGACTTTTCTTGTTAAAGAAAAGGGAAGAAAAAATAAACTCAGAGCAAGACCCACAGTAGTTGTAGATTCCAAAATCGAGCGCCGCGTGGCGTTTACACTGGCAGTGGTAATAGCTATCTTTACCGCATGTTGGCTGCCGATGATTGTCGTGTTCTTTGCTGCTGGTAAATCCCTTGTTAAGATGTATGGCACTGCTTACATGTGGATCCGATCCTTGGCACTTTCAAATTCAGCCATGAACTTCATCATCTACAGTGCAAGGATTCGTGACTTCCGGGATGCTTACGCTCTAATATGCCGAAAGACTCTCCATTGCACGAAATAATTCAGCCGTTGTAAAGAGTATCAAGGCTGGGGATACAAACTAACTGTACATATAACAGTCAATCGTGAATTTCTAGGGTTAATAACACACTGAAGAACCAGAAATGTTATTACGGTATTATTCCGTGATAGGTCGCTTAGTATTTGATAAATAATTTTTCATTATAGTTAGTTTGAACAGCATTGAGTAACGCAGTGTAGTAAAGCTCCATTTTACTGTAGAGTGTCATGGACAATTAGCAAGGTATGGTGCTCCATAAATGTATTTTAATTTCTTATTTTAATTCAAAAGAGACGCAAAGACAGACAGATTACTGATCGAAGGTGGTTATTTAAGGGGAAAATTGATTAACATGACAAGCAAGTTAACACGGATAAATATCAGGTCAAAGGTAATCGAGGCCTTAAGTAATTGGCTTCGCTCTGACGAAGGGCTAACGCTCGAAACGTCAGCTTGTAAACTATCTACGTTATCAACTCCTTGATAATATCAAATTACCCTGTTATACTCTTCCACCGACGCAGCACCACAGTTTCTTCAGAAACTAACCTCCCTTAGTAAGTTTATTCATAGTTTGTTCGTACAATGAGGCGCTTCTTTTGACTGGTCTAGTTCCCTTACACAACCGCCGCGAGTTCTTATGTGATAAGCTTTTTAATTCCATCCTGTCTAATCCCTCGCACAAGCTCTATAGCTTACTACCTCCCAAGAATGAGTGCGAAGTCAATTTAAGGAGTCAGCATTCTTTTACTACACGGCGCCTCCACACCATTCGTACTCGAAATAGTTTTATCCATCACTATGTCCATAAAGCAATGATGTAATATTGTTTTTCTCTTAATTATATATTTTTGTCTTTTTAATTAGTTCTTCTTAGCCATGTATTTTTTGTAGTATATATTTTATTGTAAATCAAACGTAATTCAGCCTGTGGCTGCAAGGTTCTTGATAATAATAAACTATCTATCTATCTATCTATCTATCTATCAAGTATTTTCGCTCAAGTGACCGTTCAATACATGTGAAAGACAGTGTAAACAGGCTGTTGGGTTCAGTCATGGGTGACCACGACCGCTTAATAGAGATGACCGCTTAGTAGAGGTGAAAGTTACAGTACTTGAGGGAAAAAGCCAAAAATTTTCCTTGAAAACCGACCGCTAAATACAGGGTAATTGCTTGATATAGTGCCGCTAAATACAGGTTCGAATAAAGTTCTAGGCTGGAAATTCTTTGTTTCCCAACCACTTATCATCAAAAATAGACAGGAGGGTGACAAATATGCAAACAAATAATATTAAAACTGTGAATGTAGAGATGACCCGAAAACTTACTTCCTGTAAAACAGAACTAAGAAAAAATTATAGTAATTCAAAACAAAACATCCTCAGTAAGATAAGGAAAAAAACCATATATATTGAATTAAAAAACATCTTTGCACTAGTCTTCAGAATATCTGACCAGAGTGCCATAAAAAACATCCATATCATCATTTGGTTTATTAATATCATTACATCTTACAAAAGAACTGAGCTGAAACATCCTATCTGCAAAGATATTAACATCAACAGTCTTCAGTTCTAAATCCTTTGTGGTGTTTTCTTACACGCAAGCAATAAACAAATATCTGTTAGGTCCTTCGTATAAGAAGACAAGTTCAACTGAACAGATTTTCTGTCAGTGAGATTCTGGTAAAGTTCAATCTCCTCTTGTTCATTCCTTGCCGGATTTCAAGAGAGTGTCACACAAGGTATCATGGCTTTCACTGTTGTGCTTTTGCAGTTCTATGTAAGATATAGGAAGGAAAATAAATTGTTGCCATCTTTGACAATTAATTTTTTTTGCCTTGTCGAGGGAGAACCGTGTGTGTGACATTACCCTGTCACGTGAGTACAGCTTTTGATTACTCGACGAAGGTAGATTGACGTTAATACCATTTATTTAAAAAAAAAACTACAGCTTTGACCAGGCTTGAAGTGAAACAACACTTGATATGTTTTTTCCAGAGTTCGCTACAACGAATGAAATTCGCTACCAAACATGACAACCTTTTAATCATGTTGATAAGGCAGGCGACCCTGCAATTGGAAGTGTAAATTGGCTACCGTAAAGAGCGGCCAAGCTTTAGGCCTTCGTCATCGAACCATTCGCTCTTACGTTGGATCCTCTCACTCTCAGAAATGGCCAAAATGGAACTTTTCCTTGAATTGTCTTTTCATTTTTAAGCGGAGAGCCGCTAAGGAGAAGCAGGGTTTTTACCTCTTACCAGAAAAAGCTCATTCACTTGAACTATGTACAATAATGGAAATATTTATGTTGTCTAGGAGGCTTAAAATACTAACATCACGTTTTTGGTGACCCATAACCTTCCAGTCGTGAGGCGAGAATATCAAATTATTCGGCTTGATTCTCTCACGAAACTCCACTTTCATCCGATGAAACACCTACCAAAAGACAATTGAAATGGTAGGAACTTCCAATTTCTTGATTTGTCTCGTGTACTCGAAGACTAGATTGATCCAGCATTATCATAAGATACCATCAGGAGTGCTAACCCACCCCAGTCACCCTTCCCTCCCACCCCAGTCCCCGTCCCCTCCCAACCCAGTCCCCCTTCCCTACTCCTGCCTCCGCCTACTTCTTACTGAAAAGGTCACTCGTGATTTTCAAGATCAAAACAATAGATTCCTGCCTTTCTGAGAATATAGATCATTGTTTACGTCACGGTTCGTGTACTGACAAGATCGTACATGAAATGCAAAAGTGAAACAACTGAAACTCCAATATCTGTTATTCCCTTAACGCGCGCAGAACATATTTAGATATCTCGACAGAATCAGTAGTTCAGACAAACAATTGGGAATCACGCCATAATTTCTTGGCTCTTGAGGAGGTAAAACAGCGGCTTTGCTTTGCTTCAGCTTTGCTTTGTTTCCAGAATTAATCAATAATGAATATACAGAATATTTCACTGGAATACAGCGCGAATACTTCAAGTGACTCCACAGACGATTGCGTCCTTCCGCAGACACATGGCGTGCTTCTTATGATAGTTAATTCCATAGCAGCCGTGGTCGGAACCTGTGGAAACATTATGGTTTGTATTGCGGTACTCACGAGCACTCGTCTTCGTCGCAGCTCCAACTTCCTTCTTCTCAGTCTGGCCATTGCTGATTTGGTAGTGACGATGATCTGCGAGCCTTTGGTAGCTGCTATAGTCGCTAAGAGAGCGTTTTCCCATGATTGTGCATCCAGCTTGGAGCTTGCTTACGTTATCGGCTCAAACCTCTCATGCTCTGCATCAGTCATGCACCTGGCAGCCATCAGTGTGGACCGTTTCCTTGCCGTTGTCTACCCTCTTCGCCACGGACGGATCATGAACGGTTCTGGTTTGAAGATCATGTTAGGAGTTGTCTGGGTCGTACCTATCATTTTCGCTTCATGCCGCATTCCATTCCTTAAGGAGACATCTTATCTAGTCTTCGTGATGTTTGTAATAAGCTATGGGTTGATAATTATCTGCTACGCGACCATCGTGACTTTTCTTGTTAAAGAAAAGCGAAGAAAAAATAAACTCAGAGCACGACCCACAGTAGTTGTTAATTCCAAAATCGAGCGCCGCGTGGCGTCCACACTGGCAGTGGTAATAGCTATCTTTACCGCAAGTTGGCTGCCGATGATTGTCGTGTTCTTTGCTGCTGGTAAATCCCTTGTTAAGATGTATGGCACTGCTTACATGTGGATCCGATCCTTGGCACTTTCAAATTCAGCCATGAACTTCATCATCTACAGTGCAAGGATTCGTGACTTCCGGGATGCTTACGCTCTAATATGCCGAAAGACTCTCCATTGCTCATGATAATTCGGTCGATGTAGAGAGTATCAAGGCTTGGGATACGAACTAACTTTAAATGTAATAGTCAATCGTTAACTTCTGAGTCAAGACCGGCAAAAAAAATAAAATTAACGGAGCGGAATGCATCAAGAGGATGCAATACAGAAACGTTGTGAATTTGTGAATTTCGAGGTTAACACATAACAGATATTCTGAGCCTTGAGAGATCTAGAGACACTGGTTCTAAATGTTATTTCCTTTAGACCTGACATAAAAATCGGCGAGGCAAATGTTGCAGTGTTAGAAATCTAGAAACATCGGTCAATATTTTAGGTCAAAATTTGCTAAAGCGGAAGCAAGTCGAAAGTTCCTCGCTAGTTTACACCTGCATTTGTGTGTGCGGGGTTTTCAAGGTTAATATCACACTGGAAAACCAGAAATGTTACATATTATTTCGTGATAGGTCGCTTAACATTTGATATGCAATTTTCATAACATTTAGTTTGAACAGCATTGAATAATGCAGTGTAAAGAGCTTCTTTATTGTAGAGTGTCATAAACAATTAGCGGGGTATAGCGCTCCATAAATGTATTTTATTTTTTTTTCTAATTCAAAAGAGAGATAAAGACAGATAGATTATTAATCGAAAGTGGCTATTTAAGGGAAAAATTGATTAGAATGACAAGCGAGTTACGATAAATATCAAGTCAGAGGTAATCGAGGCTCTAAATAATTAGTTTTGCTCTGAGGAAGGGCTGACGCTCGAAGCGTCTGCTTGTAAACTCTTTACGGTGGCCAATTTACGATATTAACTCGTTGATAATTCTAAATAATCCTGTTAGACTCTCCCACCAACGAAGCACCACATTTTCCTTAGAAACTTACCTCCTAAATAAGTTTATTTATAGTTTATGTAAGTATTTCCGCCTAAGTGACCGTTCAATAAAGGTGAAGACAGTACAAACAGGCTGTTGGGTTCAGTCAAGGGTAACCACGACCGCTTAATACAGGATGACCGCCAATACGGTGTCGCTTAATACAGGTTCGAATGAAGTTCTAAGCTGGAAAATCTTTGTTTTCCAACCACTTTTCATCAAATATACACAGAAGGGTGACAATCAGGCAAACAAATAACAATAAAACTGTGAAAGTAGAGATGGCCAGAAAACTTACTTCCTGTAAAACAGAACTAAGAATAAGTTATAGTAATTCAAAACGAAACATTTCTCAGCAAGATAAGGAAAAAACCATACATAGTAAATTAAAAAACACCTTTGCACTAGTCTTCAGAATATCTGTACTTGAAAGAAGATCAGAATGCCATAAAAAACATCCATATCATCATTTGGCTTATTAATATCATCACACCTTACAAACTAACTGAGCAAACACATCCCATCTGCAAAGCTTTTGACATCAACATTCTTCAGTTCTAAATTCTATGTAGTATTTTCTCACACTCAAGCAATAAACAAATATCTCTTAGGTTTTACATATAAGAAGACAAGCTCAACTGAACAGCTTAAATCTGTCAGTGAGATTCTGGTAAAGTTCAATCTCCTCTTGATCATTCCTTGTCAGATTCCAAGTCAGCGCCACTCAAGGTATCATAGCTTTCATTATTGTGCTATTGCAGGTCTATGTAAGAAAAAAGAAGAAAAATATATTGTTATTATCTTTGACTATGAATTTTTTTTTTGGTCTTGAAGAGGATGATTTTGAATTCAGAGCATTCAAAACAGCACCCTGTTTGTTACTTTTTTTTTTTACAACCATAATTTTTAATAATTCAAGGTGGCTTGGAGTAATAAGTTTGCACACAGTTACTCTTTTATAAGCTGAGCTTAGATTTGACATTATTAGCAAATTAGAAAAAACTCTTGAGGACAATGTATGGACAATGCATTAAAATGTTCCATTCCACTTTTCAAGAGAAGGAAACCATCCACAAATTTTATGGACGTAATATCACACATTTCAAGCCCTAGAACACTCTGTTACCCCATTCACACCAGCTAAACATGTTTAGTCAAACCAGATTTAAACCTTGAACTCCCATGAGTGATTAGGACAGCATTTCTCCTTACAATATCAATACAATATAAAGCAGGCAAGAGATGGGAATGAAGAAAAATATCACTTAGGGGATTACTTGTTGGTCCAACACCAAATTCTCTGAACCAACATCATAAGAATTGTATGACAAATGGTGAGCAGAATCATTTAGGAGATCTTGGGTTGAAAGGATGAACTGAATGAAAATCAGCAAAAAAGAGTAAGAAAAAAACTAGATTTTTGATAGGGCTCAGGTAATAAAAATTCTGTATTAACCCTTTCACTCCCACAAGTGACCAAGACAGAATTTCTCCTTACAATATCAATACAATATCAAGCAGTTAGGTGATGAGAATAGAGAAGAATATCAGTTATGGGATTATTAGCTGATCCAATACCAAATTCTCTGAGCTAACATCATAAGAATTGTATGGCAGACAGTAAGGAGAATTACTAATTAGATCTTGAGAGTGAAAGTTAATAGTTCTAGATTGGAAGTGGATAGACATTACCATAAACAGCTTGAAACCTTCTGGTAAGAAAATAGTTTGAAACCATATTCAACAAATAGCTTTAAAACATGTTTCAGCTTTACTGTGAATATTGCATTAGCTGTGATACTTTGAGCATAATGATACATTCATTTCAGAGACTTGACCATTCTCAGAAAAAAAATATGTCACTTACCTCTAGTGGTTTCAACTCGGGATTCAATTAAAATTAATCATCATCATCTGAATCATCAAGGCGCTTCCTATTGAACTAATTGTTAGGTAAAATTAACTTTAAAATGTGAAGTTATACTGAATTGATATCTGTTAGTGGTAATGCAAAAATTTGCATCTAAGAATGTCAAGTATGTGTGATTTGATTGAAAGGGAAAGTTTCTCTACAGACAGCTACATGTATTTGTACTGACAGACTCATGTAAAAAAATTGGAAAAATATGTCAGCGGTGCACCTACAAGTAACCTAAATATCCAAGTTTTAACCTTTTGACCCTGAAGAGTGACTACCATCTAATTTCTCCTCACTATATCATCCCTGGATGACACGTTAAGGACAGAAGAATAAAGGAAATGATTGCCAACTTCAGAAACACTGTGCTTGTGTGAAGGAACACTTGATTATTAAACAAATTCTCCATGTCAGCACCTTAGGAAATGTATAGTGAACAGTATGGAGAATATGTGTACTGGTGTCAGGGTGTAAAGGATTAAAAAGTGTGGAATGTAAAACTGATTTGCTACCTTGACTGTGGTTTTCTTTTGGGTTCGCTCACTAACTTCCTGGAGTAGACTCACCAATTGGGACTCTGATAACTGAAACAGAATTTTTTGTCACAGAAATAAATTCAGGTTGAAAAAATGGCTTTCATAAGCATCTATCACTTTTTTCCTTGAAAATAACTTATTTACTTGCTCTTCTTTCACTAGAGCTTGTTTTGCAGAAAAGATGATCAATAAAAATTTTTCCGGTTCCTCCAAAATTTTAACTTTTGGATAGGCAAGCGTTACACTCAATGTGCCAATGTGTTAAATTATAAAGCTGACCTCAGTTTCCCGGAATTTTATGTCCAAACCCAATGGAAGGAGTTTATTGTATTATTGATTTAAAAACAACATACACATATAACTATTAGTTATCTAATGTTACCTTTCCAGCTATCTGCCCTGACCTAGCCATTTGGATTAGCATACTTTCCATCATTTTTGCTTTTTCAGGTTTAACCAATGCTATGCTGTTCACTATGGGGATATAAGAAAAACTTGTTAGTGATGATTGAATAAAAACCAAAAATCTAGAATTAAACATTTAAAGACCATTTAGCTGTTTACAAAGTTCAGTAAAGGAGAGCATTACTGGCAAAACTTACTGCAGTTTAAAGGGAGTAACATTCTGAAGAAACTCTGGTGCTGCGTCGGCAGGAGAGTATAACAGGGTAACAAAGTATTATCAATTGAGTTGACAATGTAAACTGGCCATTGTAAAGAGTTTCAAAGTAGAGGTTCTGAGTGTTAGCCCTTCATCAAAGTGAATGAGTGCAGGTTACTCCTATCCAGTCCTTTCTTAAAAATCTGACCAAATGCCAAAACATCAGCTTTTTAAATTTATTAGCATATAGAATGAATTGCATGAAAATATCAAGGTTAAGATAATGGTGCACTTTTTTCGATTCTGTGTCACAAGATTTAAATCAAACAAATCACAATGTCCAATCTGAGTGAAGAAAAGTATAACAAAGAGAATTCAAATTTGAAGAAAAAAAAAACACTTACCACCTAAGAAAACCTAGGTAACCAGGTTGCAATTGGTATTGTGTTTGCTTTTGATGATTGAGAAAGTGATGCAAAGTTTTCTGGACCAATACATTACTAGATTACTTTTGACACTTGGTTAAAAATTGCTCCAAAAAAATTATCAAGTGAGAATCACAGCATTTTACACCATTTACTAACATCTTGCTCTGGCCCCTTGTTCCAGTATTTGTGACAGTAGACTGTTTTTCATTTCAGCCTCCCTAATTAGATGAGAAAAAGGTATTTACTGCTGGTTTCACAAGCACATACAAGCTGCTTTTTCTGCTGTATCTTTTGGGTGGAAAGGGGTAAGGAGGAATGATTTAGCACAAACAAAATTGTGCCAAGGCTTGCATCAAAAAGTAGAAATTGTGGGCATAGTGTTTAGAGCTTCACGAAAATTTTGAAAAATTGAAGTAACAACTAGAGTTATCTCATTTCAAATCTCAAAATGTTTTCGGTAAAATTTCCGCACAGCCCCTTGCTACATTGTGCATTCAGTTCTCGGATAGAAAAAACAATGACAAAAACAATACATTGCCATTGGGAAAACAGATTTGTTTTACAATAGTATGGGGCTGTGCGGAAATGTTACCATGTTTTCCTTTTAACTAAAATTTTTAAGGAAAGGAAAAAAAAATTTGGGGTTTGTTGGGAACTGTTACGCTAAGGGAGGGGGCAGGAGACAGGGAAAAGTTCTCGTCTTACCACATTTTTCACGACTCCTTACAGTTATGGAGCTTCACTCACAACGCCCAACATAAAAGCATGCGATATAAGCTTGAATGCACACTAACACACATAAGAAACTCTATAAAGTACCCACCAGATAGCCCCTCACAACGCCTGCTACTAACTACGACAAAAATTGAGAAGTCGAGACAGTTCCCATGCTTTATAAACTGAATCTCCCTGAAAATTTTACCCTTTCTTGTGAACCACCAACATTGCATACGTTAGATTCAACTTCAGAAAAGATGCTGAGTGACTTTACCAAATTCAACAATCGCGTATCACATTTTTAACACTATCAATTGGGGTAGATAAACAAACTCGAACCTCTTCATGGCATCCTGTTGCTGTTGCATTTGTGCCGCATTTTGACCCTGTATTTCACGAAAGAGCGAGTTAAAGAAATCATTAAGTGAACGATAGCTATTTCAAAAGAATCTACCCCATATTGCCCTTGTAGTTCCTCCAAACGCTTTGCACGAATGGCAGCCAACTCGCTATCCTCCGCCATATTTGACTGTTCGATTACCGAGTAACCACGCCTGTAATCTTAAGCAGAGTAACCTCGTCCTTTTTTTACTAAGAAATCCTTTCATCGCAATAATTATGCTATCATTTGGAGAAGTTTGAATCTAACAGCCTCGTTACTTACGGATCATGGGAAATAAATGCGGTATTTAGTTCTTCAATCGTTACATTAGAATAGAGGTGCACGAGTCGTGAAATATAATGTGGGATCGTAGTTTCCCTGTAAATTTCCTCAAAACACCTTTTCACGGTGTCCCTGGAGGATTTCCTCTTGGTTTTCTTTTTATTTCGAACCGTTTTCCTGATATCAAATCCGCGTGCTTTTGTTTTAATGCGCAATATTTCTCTCACCCACTCAAGAACAAAGTGGGTAATTTAAGTGCACACTTTTCCACCCCTCCCTCATTTAAAATCTGTCAAAATCAGACAGACGCGTAACCAGACCTAACCAAAGTCTCTCTCTGTCGTTCCAGCTTGCCTTAGTTGGTAATAAAAAGATAAACCCTGAGAAAGAGGTTAGAGACTGATGTGCTGACCAGCTCCTTTCTGAACTGCAGTGCTCTTAGACTGGCATGATTCTGGGATTTGGTGTGGAGAATGTGTGCATTTGATACACACACCTTATCAAATAAAAACACTTTGTAATACCAGACTGACCCCTTCATAAGTCTGGCATATGCGACAGTTCGCTGGAGACACATCTACACCACCCATATAGGTGTTGTAGAGGTCAATAACAGAAAGAGGTTAGAGACTGAATACGAAAATAAAGGGGAAAAGTGTCTTGGAGTTGTCACTCGACACAACAGCCTTTTGTATCGTCAAGAGCAAGTTAGGGGACATTGGCATTAGCCATACTTCATACTTTATCCTTTTCCTACCCTCTGTTGTCACCAGGTTTGTGCCGGTGCTTTTTTTTTTTTTTTTTTTTTATCTTCCACGACTAACGAGTTAACGACACGTAGTTGAAAATGATCGGCAAAGATAAGATATCATAATTACCATAGTTTAATAATTCGTGCGAAAGACCTTATTCAGGTCAAAATATCGAATTAGTCGAATTTTCTCAAATGCTTTTTTGAGGCAACTGTTTAATTTTGCAGTAGATACATTCGACGCACTTTCAAGGACTCTAGCAATGAAATTTTGCGCTTGATCGTCCAAGAAAAAAATGCACATGAGAAACATTTGGGAGCTCCAGCCTTTCTTGAAGCGACATGCGATTTTCTACATTTCAAGCATCACAATCTAAAATATTGAATACTTAATAACATATATTCTTAATCGAGACTTAACCAATGCGGAGGTCTATAAATAAAATGAAAACAATTAAAACCCTTATAAGACTGAGTAGGTAAGAGAGTAGAACAATTGAGAGGTTTTTTTTACGATGGATGTTTTAGTTAATTGGACAGAAAATTTTAAATTGAATTTATCTTTCATGAGTGTGGGGTACCATTGTTCTTCTACCTTCTTGCCGGGGTTAAATAACAAACAAAAGTACTTAGAGTCTTAAGAATAATTTTTGGAACAATAAAAATGGTTGGAGTCACGTACGATGGTGACGAGTTCCGGGAGGCAGTCACTTACCGGAAATGGTCAAACTTTAGGGTTCTTTAAAAAGTGCTCGGTGAGAGAAGGTTAGATTTCGCGTGCATGTGAGGAAGGCAAAGAGTTTATATGTGACGCTTGTGAAGTCCAACATTAACAACTGAAACGATGATTTTACAGAAAGGCAAGGTAAGGTGAGATCTGATGTTTTCCCTTTTAAATTCGTGACGCGTGAAAAACTGTTTAAAGTACATGTGACGCGTGTATTTTTCTAAAATTTGAGTGATGAAAACGGGATCAGGGCGCCTGCTTTGCTACCCTCCGTGGTGGTCACAGGGTTAAGTTGAACTCTCAAATATCAAACCAATATGGATTTAAGTAGCAACAAGTTAATACAGAGTGGATCGTCTAACATTTCAAATACTATTTGCAGCAATATGTGACCTAAATTTAGCTCAAAATAGAAACGCTTGAATCTAAAATTAGCTTTTGGTTAGGGCGCTTTTTAACACTGCCACGAAAATGAAATTTCCCCGTGAGCATTATATAACCTTGCAGTGGCTGTTCTTTCATGAAAATCCTTTTGAATCTCGAGTCATGTCGAAATCAGTAATATTGGATTGTAAAAAAAAATGCCCAATTGGTACATAAAACTATAAATATATTATCGATGAAAACACTTAAAAGCCCGAAACCAAGTGAAGTCAAGTCAGGTGTTAATATGGATTTATAGTGTACGCATGTTAGCTGTTAGAATCTAAGGGCAAGAGGTAAGACAAAACCCAAATGACGTTCTTTATCAACGAAAGGAATCACGGCGTTCGTAAGATTAGGGAGGGTCAGGTTCTGTAGACAGGAGCAAGGCGTAAGTCTTTCGTAGTTGTATGGGGAAACACGGCGTAAGTGCTGTAACAAGGTGAGTTATCGGCCCACGAGAAAATTTTAGCCCTTGGGTTAAAATGGTCGCAAAACGGAACGCATTAGTTTTTGGAAGGGCATACAAAAAAAAAAATCGATACCCGGCGGAAGTTCTGCTTCAAGTTTTAATCGCAACAGCAATAGTTATGCTTGGAAAGAAAGCAATAAAATTCGAATAAGTTTTCATTCCAACAAAGGGATCAGAAGGCATAACGCCTCTAATGATATAAGATGGCGCGTTAGAGATTCAGAGCCAATACTGATTATACTCAGCACTTTCAGGCTAACTGACAAATAAAGAAAATTGTAGCGTTACTCTCGTTCCTGATTCTGATTGAGTCATGGATATAACTTTTTTAAGAAGTGAGTGAAAGGTCATGAAAAACAATAAGAACGTTAATTTCTTGTTTGTTTTTGTCTTGTCTGTCTGTATTGATCTGATGTACCATCTGAGTACTTAAGCGGTAAACAGAGTAGGTAATTCTATTGTCTGGGCGGTTGTTATGGACTTGGTAAAATACTAGCAGGATTGAACTTAATTCTTGTGCTAAGCTGCAAATTAGTTAGGTAACAGAGAAAGTGGAAGGTCTGTCAGAAGGTAAATGCTGTTTGTGAAATGCACTTAAAACAACCTGGGTGACGTTTTCGGAAATGTTTCTCTTAGGATAGAGAGAGGCGTGGTCCGCAAAATATAAACCGCCTGAGTGACTTTGACGAAAATTTTAGACGTAGTTACTATTTCAAGCTCGATCTAAATAAAGAGAGAAGGAATGGATTAAGAAGATGAACAAAAAGGACGAATAACTATGATGTAAAAATGTCATGATGAATTTCAAAATAGACTTAAGAGATTGGGATTGAACCACGCTATTCACAAAGCAAGGAAGTCAATTTGCGAGAAAAAGAAAAAAAGCAAAACAAACAAAAAAAAACATGAGTCATCATGAATGGCCATGAGTATGCTATAAAACGTTCATTAAATACTTTTGAGGGAAAACTTGCCCTATTCGATCTAATGTTTAAAAAGCTAGTGACTAACATCTAAATCATTCCAGTTGGATTGTATGGATTATGTGTGACACTTTTTAAAATACTATTTATTATGGTTTAAGTTAACGGTGAGATTATGAGTTTGAGGTTTCTACAGAGTCAGTGATTGTTGATGAAGGCGACATACAAATCAACTATCATGCAGACATCGATCGAGAGCGTGTCAGAGCGAATAATCCGATTGTTTTCGTATAAATCTGCATGTCGACCAGTCTTTTAGTCAATGGGATCGTGTTTCTATTTCAGGTTGTTTACAATCGCATACTGTTAGGCTACATACGTTACTCATTGTACATGTCTATTACAGATTATTCAATTAGCTGAAATATTTACGCATTTTGATTCATTCTTCTATATGACTCAGTGGAGGACAGACGCATGTGTATGACATCACCATCCACAATTTTGCTTCATTATCATATAAGAAAAATAGAAAATATGTAAACGTCCCCCTCAGTGCTCAGTCATAGATCAATGACGTCAGTGCGGTAAGAACGAGAAGGTGGCACACGAGGTGCTGCTAAAACGTAATCTTTTTGTTAAATATAAATAGTGAGTAGTTAAGCCAATCGGATTGCAGTAATTGTGATAGAACGCTAGTGGATTTATACCAAATTGGTTTATTCCAGACAGAACTAGACCCAGAGGGCGAGTCAGTTTATTTGTTCTAGAACACTCCACTGATTAGCAATGCGTGGGCTACACTTAGCTAGCTGGTATGATTCAAGCCAGAACAAAAATATCTCACAGAATTGATTGAAGTCCCAGGTTAGCACGTGAAAAACTGCTTTTACACGATTCTTATGGAAAAAAGTTCCCTCCAGATCGTGGAGAACTTCAGTGTTATACCCATGCAATACTTTATTAAAAATAGTCACCCGACGAAAAGTAGCAGCAATTTACGATGGGCATTTCCGGTGCGTTACCACAGCTTAGGAAAAATAGTCTCCATGAAAAATCTTAATTTCCATGACGACCGAAACACAAATTTACAAACTGTGGCATTCAAACATAACCACAATTACTTAACATTGCCGCAAGTATCAAACATCACGTAATCCCTAAATAATTACAAACATTTGAACAATTGAAAAATCATCACGAATCAGGGTAATGATTCATTTGTAATGATCACATGAGTGATTGGTGATTGTCTGTCTTCCCGTATAATGTTATATCTATTAGTTGAATATTGTGCACAAATGGAGAGCTGGTAAATAATTGTATTCTTATCTAAATTAAGTGAAGAACATCTAACATGTATCATTTGTTCATGTGTCTAATATTGCTTTGTTGTATCCAACTGTATTGTTCTCCGCATATCATGAATGGTAGCGAGAATTATCAGAATCAGAGATTTCATGATTAAAGCGCGAGATGGTCAATATCTGCTACACTTCTATGCCAATATCATTCCCGTCGTATCCAGTTACAGTCGAGGTTATGACTGAGTAAGTTATGAACGTAACAGCCTCTTTCTTCACAAATTGCCTTACGCGTCTAGGTTTCCCGCGCTTTCTGTCACGTGACGCTTTTACGTCAGACATTTTAAGCAGCATATTCAGTAGACAGACAGTATTATTCCTCGTCGTTTAGGATAAAGTTCACATTTTAAAGTGTTGGGCAATAGAGAGGAGATCCCTTCTGACCAGGTAAGTGTGTGCTTCACTTTTAAGTAGTAAAATCATCATCTAAATTCGGTATTCCTAACTTATTTTGCGAAAACAAACGCCGTCTAGAGGTTAAAAACGTGTTTTTTATATACTGTAAATGCCAATTCTTTTTAAAGCACGCTCACATCGAGTTAGCAACGTTCAGGAAAGCAAAATTTTTGCCGATAAGAAATCACTTACAGAAGCCGGATGTCAGGTAATTTAACAACAATATTTGCCGGACGTTTTACAGCATTAGAGCAATTCTCCCTTGCAATGTTTTCATCTGTTCAGTTCAATTGTATACTACCTTTGTCCTTCGGTTCATGATACAGGTACAACTTAAGTCTTTCACCGACGTAGAACAAACAAAGGTAAGAACGAAAGCAAATTTTTCCCATCTTTGTTCCGGAAAGATTATGTTTGTTGATCGACTGGATTTTCGTCGTCATTGTCTCACCGAAGTCGGACTATTACATTTTTTATATTTTTAGTGACAGGGTTTTTAGGCTTCGTTGCGCTAAGAGCGTAAGAGCTACTAAGCTTTTTTCTTTTTAAAATTATACGAAAATAATAAAAGTACCACGAACATTTTTACTTAAATGCGCGAGAAAGTTAAAATGGGGAAAGCATAAGAAAATGGGTTTAACGCGGTTGTGAATTTGAAGTGTTACAATGACACGAGTGTGAATAACTCACTAAAAAATTCTTCTTTGGATCTCGATTGGCCTTTACAATTTTTTCAGTTTGTAAGCATAAAAGGTGGAACAATTTAGTATTGCGCCGATATAGTCTGAGGCGTTTTCACTTCTTGTTTTTTTGTGCGTTATTTAAATTAAATATTGCAAGGGAGTTTACGACGAGCGTTTTAATGACTGCACTGCTCAATGAACTGTCTGATTAATCTAGGTTCCACGAGTGCCGTTGTTCCGAAAATAACGTCGGTGTACTTCAAAAGTGAATACAGAGCCGATCTATCCCTCTCAGACATTCTCCTTAAAAAGAGGAGGGTGTTTGTATACATACAGGCGGTAAGATATATCAAACGAACAGCGATGTTAGTTTATGGCGCTTTTCCGATCTGAATATCAATGCGGAATAATGATGCAAAAGAAAATGATAAGAATTCGCGACACGAACAATACAACTGATAAATGAATAAACACATTATTTATAGATTTATAAGACTGCATGAATCTAGAATCATGGACACGAAAAATGAATTATCTAGATTCATAATGTAGGAAAATAACTCACGATACAAATGCTAAAGGCCGGAACATAAGGACTAATTGACCTTTTCCTAAATGGATATTTATACGAGAGGCTCACCTCAAGATACACTAAAGAAGTGGGCTAATACTACTGAGAACTTGACAACTTTGGATTCTGTGAAAATTGTTGATCGTGTGTTCGTTGAAAATCGATACAGAGGAGCAGATTCTCTTACCTTAGTCGAAAATAACCCGACTGTAGCTCAAAATATTTTGAGGTTAATTCATTTCAGTCCAGGTCAACCCGTTTGAGTGTGAAGATAACTCTAACAATCACTAAAGAAAAAATGTTTCAATTCATTCATTAACTTTTGTAACATCTGAATTAGAACAATTATCCTCTACAATCAAAACAGATTGATCCAAGGTGGAAGCGAATCAAAATAACCTGAAAAATAACATGAACTACAACGTTTATTTTAGCCATATAGCGGTTATTATGGGAAACTGGTTGACCGCAAATTCCAATACAACGCTCGACGCCGAATGATAACGATTATTTTGCAATGGAAAAGGTTCTCTGAAGCTTTCGTCACACTCACAGTTTAGGGGTAGTTTTTTAAAGGACTTTTCAAAATTATGGAAAATGCATATATATATTTCATTTCGCCGAGTAGTTGCTTGAAAGAACGAGTAACGTAAACAAATGTCTCAATTACTGACGGCGAAAAGTTTCCTTGAAAATTTTCTTTAGGGTATGTAGAGACATGTGAATATAAATAATATATTGTTCAATGGATATTATTTTACCCTGACAAAATCCACTTAAGATGATACTGAATTTCTGTCAATGGTGCGACTCATTTGAAACACTAAATATCGCTTTCAGAAGTTTATAGTAAGTTTCAGTTGCTGTGGTTTCGCCGGCGGCACACTAAGTCGTCAACGTTTACCAATATTAGAACCTCAACACATTCCTTTGATGAAAAAGTTGTTCGGTGGTGAAAATTTCGTTAACGAGACAGTAAGGTATTATCAATTTTAATTGGTCTATTTTCCGGTCATCTTTTCTCAATGCTTAATTGATATTAGCTTCTCGTGTCTCTAAAGTTACATACAAAGCAGAGATGCTGAGAGCTTCGATTACATGCAGGAGAAATAACAAGTGTGCAATTTTGTCGAAGCAACGCCTTTTTGTCTTGAAGTTCATCGAGCGGTAAAGCCGAGGGCTCTCCGGGCCTTTTTCCGTTTATTTACTTTCCTCTCCTCATTAGCTCCACTTAGTGTCACTTTAAAAAAAAAACCTTAGTACTCTATGTACTCGGCAAAGCTACAAGTTAATCGACCTACAGGACGGCAGTATTTGCCTTCCAATCGTGTTGAGTACTGAGGAGCAAGACATCAATTTTATCCTAAATGAAAGACCACCCATTGATCCCAGTGGCAGACAAAAGTAACAGGTTTAACTAGATCGTTTGTCATCATATTCCTGCATCTCGAAAAAGTTAGCTGAAAAATTTTAAGTTCAAGATTGAAGTTTTTAATTTCGTGAGAGGCGTTTCCCTTTTTCAAAGATTAACCATCCTTGAAAGCGGCTTTTGGTGTAATTATCACCTCTTTGGTTTCTTAGATCTTCGGCATTTTAGCAGATTCCGAACTGTCTTATGGTCGGAATTTCCTGGCCGTTACAGCAGTTGTGAAATTGGCGTTTGTGGCAACGAGAAGTGCGGGGTAATACATGTTAGGAAGTGATGACCTTAGTGATGTTTGGATATACATCGAGAGATGTATGACTCTTAATCGTAAATTTGGCTCCCATTAGGCGAACGTATTTGAGGGCTTCAGGGAAAATCAGTCGTTATTTGACGCGGCAGTTATGGCGCCGTTCGCACTCCCTCGTACCAAAGCAACACACCCTCGTAAGCACGCATCCGTTAAATACGGAATTTTGTCCTTAACTCTCACTCTAAAATTTTATCCATAAAGCATTTTAAAGCGTAATATTGGTATTGTGGCCTTAAACCTTCATTCACGGATGCAATGAAATTGCTATAGAACAGAATATTATGGGGGCACAACATGCCACTGTGCACGCAACCCCAATAACTCGGCGGATATACTGTGAAAACGCCTTTCCTACGCCTTGAAGACGTGCACCCGGTCGGATCCCGCCGTCGGAAAAACTACTTATGGACTAACAAACCCAAATAAAAATTTCATCATCTTGAAATAAACTAAAACGTGTCCATTATCACCTCACCGGATAATTTACCGATCGGCGATCATAAGTTTTTGCACTTCTTTGCTAAAGTCATCAAGTGTGGGGTCAATCCAACAGATGGCAGTTTACATTTCAAATTGAGAAAGAGAGATGTCGAAATCTTAAGAAATCTTTTATCTCCAATAAAATGAAACCAGTAGTCCTGTCAGCGCTTGATTGAGCTAAAAACTTGATGTGATTCTGCTTGATAAAAATAGTTTTTTTTTCAAGTTTTGACGCTTTGAATCTTCTCGGCCATCAAGCAATTTCTTTGTAAGGTAAACATGATTAGCGAATCACTGTAGACTTTCAGAAAAGTAGTTTTAATTAACTGAGCTTGGAAGTAGTTAAGCAAACAACACACTTAAAAAAGGAGATGTCATTCTTCTTAATCATATGTTTGATTAGGGCCGGGGAGATCAAAGTACAGTGGGCAACAAATCTCTCTGATCATCAATTAAAATCATTGTCAAGTCTCCGCATCTCGTCGGCGAAGTGTCAGGGAATGAAACTATCGTTGGAACCAGGTCAGATTGCCGAACACGCCTCGTTTCCACGACACTGAAGGGCAGAACGAACTTCAAGACATCTACACGGATTAACTTTGTTCCATCGTAAATCATAAGGAACCACTCGTCTCAAGTATTCTCAAGAGCGTTTGTAAATAGTCTTAAGATGACTTCTACGACTTGTCTCACAGCTCTCGCTCTGTTGACAATCTCTTCCACTTTGGCAGCTTTAGCGGAAAGTGACAGGGATATAAACAGCTCAGAGGTAAGGAGATAGACTTCGTTGTTTCTTGGCTAATTTTTCTCTCCTATTCGTGTTTCGTTTTACTCAGCTTTGCAGTTTGCACATCTACTGCGCACAAATTCGTTATGGAAATGACCTCATGGGCTGAACAAACGCAGTTTCTTGTTGTTGGAATGACATATTGTTACTGCATTTTCTCCCTCTTGCGAAAGACTTTCACATGGCGTAATCATGGGTATGTCACAACTAGCTAATGTCATTTCAATTCGTTTTGCAACGAGCTTTCCATAAAATGCGTGCTTCGTGTGAGGCCATTGAGACGAGAGAGCATAGCTCATGAAGACCATCTTAAATAAAGGAACCAGTATTTTGACGGTTTCTTCTAATTTTGGTTGAATGTATCAATAATTAGGGAAAGAGGAAAAGTTACGTTTATTACCTTGCGTCTTCCGCTCTTTCAAAAAATTCGACACATAACTGTATCATTGGTAATAAAACCGAATGTTAGCCGGATAAACCACAAAAGTGTTTAATTACTTGCGAGCGAGCTCAATGACTTCTCCTCGTGCGTGTCCGTGTGTAAAGCCATAAAGAACCGAATCATTAGTCACAAAAATTAGCCTGTCGGTTTGTTATAAATGTTTACACAGTAGAACAAAGAATATTCTCTTGAGACATTATGTTGGCGGGCGCGGTGAGCTATTTTGGTGCAACACTCGACAACCCTTTTATCAGGCTTTTATGCAATTTCCAAGTGGCCCTTAAGATTGTCTACTGTTCATCAACCTGAAGTGCCATAAGCTTCCTGGCTGTCTATTTTGGATCATGATTGTCGAGCGACGAAAATCAGTGCTTCAAGATTCTTTAATACACGTACTACTTTTTGCTTCAATGTCATGGTATCAATTTTTATCTAGTAGTCAGTTTTCTTTGGGGAGAATGCAATACATCAAAATTTATAAGATAGAGATAATTATCTCTAATCATAGTTCGAAATTAATTTTTCATGTATCTTATCTGATCCTTCAAAGCTTTCCATTACGGTTGAATCGATTTTCGTACAGTATCACGCGTCAATGGACTCCGCTAGCGTACTTGACATGCTTCTCATACCTCCAAAATCGTTAAATCAATCGATGCGCCCATTGGTTTACCGTCTGGAGAGTTCAATTTTTCTTTGTGGTCAAAGAAGACAAAACAAAACTCTATCGAAGAATTTCGACGACTGTACTCACCACAACCCTTATAAAATCGTCACTGGTGCTGTTTTTTTTCTTTGTGTGTGTGTGTGGATGGGGGTTGGGGGTGGGGTGAGGGATGATTGAACAAATAAGGAGAAATTTGGACAAATTTAAAATATTTTCAAATCATTAGTTGTTTATGACTTAGACACTTGTTTTTTTTTATATAGATTTTTTAATTTAAAGAAAAGTTAAATGGAAATCAGGCAAATTGTTGTTACCTCCTTAATTTTATTTTTGCAATTGTTTCATGTTTTAGTTCATCTTTAGGGAAACATCTAGTGCTGTTACAAATGGTCTTCAAAGATATGAACTATCCTGTTAACTCAAAATGATTATACTAAAGGTCGGAAGCGAGCATCAACTTTGCGAAAGAAAAAATGACAGGTACCGTTGACTCTCGATGACTCGGATCTTCAAGGGAAATTGAAAATGGCACGAGTCTTCAGGAGATGAGAACAACTGACCGGAAATAAGGAAATAAAACGGCGGTCGCTGTGCACTTTAATCAAATGTCATTACCGCGTAGAGGAGTCGGGTGGAAAAGGACATTTTTCAAAGAGCTTTATGAAAATGCACTGTCGTTGAAATGTATCCAAGGGCAAGGAAACTTCAACTAAAATGACAGTCGTTTCATGACGGTCGAAAAAAGCGAGTTCTAATCAGTAATCCAACTAAATCCTATAGCGCTATTTCTCACCCCGCAAAAGGGCCGACAAAAAATAGAGTTCAACGAAATGGTTTCCCTTCGATTCGATTACTGTTCCGGAGTTATTTACTGAGCCTTTGGTCGAAAATTTTTGCACCTTCTTAGTTTGCGGCACTTTTTTTCTGGTCGGAACCTTCTATTTTGACTCTGAGATAATTCACAAAATCTTTAAATGGTTAAAGTTGTAAAAGCTCCATGCTACCCGATATTTTCGTTTTTTATTTCAATCAGTCGTCTTTTTCCACAACATTTTATTGTGGAAGTTGATTGGCAGCCTTTTTCAGATGTTCCTTCTAAAATTGTGGCGTTCTCATTTCGGTACCAGGAACACATGATTATCCATCCTGTTACAATGATGGTGTAATTCGCCCAAAGGAACCAAAATCATTCAGTGAAACCCGAAAGGGTTACTATTTGTAATGAAATTCAAAGAATGTTTACTCAAAATCGATAATGGAAGTCATGGCTAGTTTACAAAACGAAAACCAAAAGAATATGTCATAATTTTTGGTGGAGCTTTCCAAAAGGGTGGCGCACTTGACTCTTTATGTATTCTGGGACCAGACACTTTATCTCACGTTGTCTCCCTCCATCAAGGAATACAGATGAATGTCAGGGAATTGTAAGGGATAACAAAAGAAATATCCAAGTCAAAGTAGCATGCTATGGATAAGCATCCCATCCAGGAGAGTTGAATGCGTCTCGCGAGTTATGTCGATAAAACAGGGAACCCTATCTTCCAAGTAGTTTTTAAAAACAGTTCGTTAGTCAGTGGTAGGTGGAACTGAGTGTCTGATATGTGGTACCCTCTTGAAGTTTTGTTCAACGAATAATTTCAACTCTTAACTTAACTTTCCACCTGGCTTTTGACCAAACCGTAGCACGAGAAACAAGTGAGGGTAGGCTTCAAGTCCCTTCGATCAAATCAACGGTATGAAAGCCTGTAGAATGTTGTCAAATCATTGCCTGAACAGTGTTACTATTGTATCTTTTCACAGGCAAGAAATGATATCACGGAACCCGGTTCGACGAAAAAGAAGACCCCAAAATGCAGAGAAGACCGAGATTGTCAAAAAGGCGAGATATGCCACACATTTTTAAATGTTTGCTTTGTTATGCCTCAAGAGAAAAGCAGAATGAAACTGAAGGTGGAAAAAAAGCCAACCATCCCTTGCAAAAGTGACAAAGACTGCGGCAAAAGTCAGTCTTGTCACGCCCTTTTTGGATGTGTGGATAATCCTCATATTCCTGCGACAGTCACGACTGCACCCCAGATAAGGGTACCCAAGTGCAAAAACAGTACTGAGTGCCCTGATGGCCAATATTGCCACGACTTCTTCAACTTGTGCCTACCAAACCTCACAATATTCTTCGAAACAACGGCTTCTCCACCACGTGCTGGTTGCAAAAGTGACTCAGACTGTGAAAACCAGGGAGATTTCTGCCATAACTTGACCAGATTATGCCTGCCACTACCTACAACTGCCATAACCTCCCCTCCTCGAAAAAGTGCATATGCCTGTAATTCCCATGCAGATTGCAAAATGACCGAGTTCTGTCATTTTCTCATCGGAATGCGGAGTCGAGATAAATCCAGAGGCTTTGGACCAAACAATAACTTGAAGTCTGCCCTCGGGGTATGCATTGCCCGAGCTTTAAAGGATGTTCCTGAGGACCCAAGTCCATTCTCTTCAAATTGCAGTCATGCTGCAGATTGCGGAAAGGGAAGGTGTTGCTTAAAGGATTTAGGGTTATGCGTGGGCTACCGCTTGCCTGGAGAGCTTTGTGTTGCAGAGGTAAGTCCAGAGATTGGCGTCGTTAATTCTTTTTTGGCGTTTTCAGGAAAACGATTCTACGCTTGACTTATATGGCCATTCTATTTATCATCTTGCCTAAATATTTCAAATGCATTTTACAATACGTTTTATTCACTTTTGGTCCTTTTCTGTGAAATGATGTCCTACCAATCTGCCGCAGGAAGAGGCTATCCTTTTCTTTTTGAGTTGAAATCAACAAGTTTCAACCGCTTGGAAATCGAAAACTGAACAGAAAGTTTGGTCTGGCACCTTTTTTCTCCAAATAGCTCTGTGCCTCTTAGATTTCTGGGAATTTTTAATTGTCAGATCTTTTCTTGACGTTTGTTTCCCTCCAGGACGTATCATTCGCCTTTTCCTGCCCATGCCTACAAGGTTTCACCTGCATCAGTAGGAGACGTCCCATGCGACTCAGGAGACTGGAGAGAAAGCTTAAACTGCCCAAAGAAGTAGTGAAGAAGCTGAGCTTACAGTTTGATAAAACAAATGAATTTAGGGTTGGCAAATGTCAGCTTATTTCTGATTGAGATGTGGAAGCTCTCACTAACGCCGAACATGAGCCAGTGCAAGATCACATTTTCCAAGTAACAATGGTGGTTCCGTTAGATAGCTTTACACCCGACCATTATAAACTGAAAAGAGAGATCGCTTGTGACAGATGCTTATCTGGCATGCACAGACTATTGTAAAATATACAACAAGTTATGAAAGTTTACAGGAGCTTCATTGCCAGTATGCGTATTGTACAAAACGGATTGCCCGCTAATTTTTCTGTAAATAACCGAGGTCTTACTATTATGGCCCAGACAATTAAAGGGAAGCATGTGAAACATGGCCAGATAATGTTAATTCGTCCGTTTGCGTCTTTCTGCAAATCTGTCACTCTTCAGCTCAATCTCATTTTCCTAATTGCCATTTCTTATGGTGATCTATATACTATCTTCAGCATACCATTCAATGAGTTTCGATGTCATGTATAGGTGACATCAAGCATGACATGATAAGTTTCCCTTTTGTCTTCACTGTTTATTCACAGAAGTAGAGATGTAGCGAATGGAAATTATATTCTGATTATTCTCAAGAATTAATCAGTTAATTAACTCATAATTAAATATAGATTTTGATGAAAAATACATCGGCCCAAAGAAATGTAGTGTAAGTGTTAGGAGAACATGAAGTGATGTAAGGATGTAAGTAGAAATTGGTCAGTTTTGTGGGCAAGAAATTGTCTCAAATAGGCAGTCGAAAAGAAAGAGATCTTGGCCGATTGATGGATTTTAATAATTAATAGATCTTAGACTGGAGAAAAGCATCAATTAATCTTAGATGCGAATAAACGATTTCGCTGTACAGGTTGAATCAGTACAAAATAAACGATTCTGGACATTAAAAAAAGTTCTGCTGTGCCTTGGGCAAGAGAAACATCTGTTACAAAGTTCCTTGCACTTAAAGCGAAAGCCCACACTTTAAAGGCTCTATGGATGTTATGGAAGTAGGAAAGGACACAAACTAATATCCTATATGGTTTCTTGGTAAATCTAGTTTTTCCTTCTTGTGGTTTCTATGTGTGCACCTGTGGTCTGAATAACAAGACGCTTTATGTCCAAAGTTCAGCGCCTGCGTGCAGCCCCGTTGTTCGAAGGCCGATTGGCAGGGTTAAATTTTAAAAATTATTTTTAAGAACATTCAATCATCAAATTACAGAAAAAAAGAATTATACTAAATTTTCTACTAAAACTTTTAGTCTGAAATCAGATTTTACACTAACCCTGGGTTATCTTAACCCCGCTTTGAACAACATGGCCCTGACTCTAGATGAAGAAAGGCTGTGATGACGTGATCTACATGCTTTGTCAGCAAAATGGTGTACAAATTGGCGAATTGATCTTCTTAGCTGGTTCACGGGGTACACAATGGAAGGACTCATTCTCGCAATTCACGATAGCTCATTTAACTATAAAAAGTATTTTGAAAACAAACCTGATCGTGAACTTACCAACTATCACGGTGTGTGTTGCCCAATTAGGGATAAACTCTTATCTAAGCCGCATAGGCCGAGGAACAAAGGTAATAGCAAACAATGAAAGCAAACGTTCCGTAGGAATTTTTTCACTTATTTTTTCTTACAGAAAAGAGGATAAACTGAAGGAAGCTTATGTGCTTGGATCGCGAGTTCGATGGTATTTCTTTTAGGGTGGCTCTTCTGTGCAAAGGAGAAATCGTTATTTTATTAAAACACTTGTAAAAGGCGACATTTGCTTGTCAGGGACAACACCATGTGAAAAGAGATACTTCTCCACTTTTAGGTTAGAGGAAAAGAGATAAAGCTTTCATGATATATTCCGTTAATTACTTTGTTATTGGCAACCTTAGCACACAGATAGAATATAGGGTTATCAAAACAAATGATATTTCACCCTTAGTGATTTACGGTTACCTTTTTTAGAAATGTTTACTGAAATCAGATGAAGCATATTTTGCAAGTTTTGCAGTCAGCCGACTTAATGGAGCCACCTTGATATTAATGAGATCTGCATCGGAAACGCCTACAGCATATTGCAAATGTTTCGAATAGAAGTTGATAAGCATTCGTGACAATTTCCCCAGTCTCACCGATTTTTTATTTAAGGTTAAAACCAACAATAACAAAAGAAAGATTTCTTACATCGTTATTTTCTTGGCACCTAGTTGTGGAAAACTTAGACCGACAATACTCACTATGTGCTACCTGTAACAAAAAACGTCACCCCACTTAAGTTTATTGAGTTTAGAACAATTTTCGTTATCTGTCTCATCTGTGGCTGACTTATGACATCAGACGTAAATAGTTGTTCCCCGCCATATTTCAGGGTGACATATTGAAGGAAAAGTGAAAGTGAAGGCTCACTTGAGTTGCGAACGTTGGCTTTTTACTTTTCCTTTAAATCCAGTTCCAGCAACTTGTACTATTTTAACCCCCCTCCAAGCCGAAAGTCTATCAGGGGAAATTTTTCGGTAAACAGAGGAGGCGAAACTGCATACCAAAGGATAACTTAACAGCTGGGAAGCTGATCAGAAACCCTGCGAACTGGTGGTTTTTCTGAAATAAATACTCTTGTACATTACAGGTGACACCGCGCTGAGCATTCCGTTTCCACCATATGGCTTACAAAAGGGGCAACATTGATTCATGCACAGCACATGAAACTTTCTTTTATGAACATTTTGATTGGAAGGTAAAAGGATTTTCTTGACAAGATTTTCTATTTTAATTAGAAGGGAAACGACCTGCTTGTTTTTCCACAAGTTACAAACGGTTTAGACCGAAAGTAGGTTTGCATGAGAGGTCGAAGAAAGGCTGTAAAGAAATCCAAGGTCACTGAAAACAGCGCCAAAAGGCAATAATTAATTGGACTTCACTTAGAAAAATGAAAAAATAGATCTGTCAGACATAGACTACTGCTGCAAATTATTAAATAAAACCATGTATACATAATCACCTAATCCTTCATTAGGTTTCGGCTTCCTATGTTTTCTAAAGACGACATTCCTTATTCAAAAAATACTAATTACATAATGGTTACAGAGTTATAATTGAAGTATTATCTCTTCACGCGATAATTTTTCATTAAAGAATGATGTTTAGGCTAGATACTCTCTAGTATGGCGCCTATTGGAATCAGCATTCGGCGATAAGGAGGACCAGTGGAAAGGATATGCATAACTGTATAAAGACATAATTCATTTGCCAAGCTAATCCTGTGTCTGTATAAACAATCGCTCACGAAGCTTTAATTACATTTCGTAATTGAATTCTGGATATACATGTGCTCAGAGGCTCTTGCCAAAAATTGGCGACAACCCGGCACTGAGCACTGATTGAAGACAATTGGGGATATATCATTTTTCTGGCGATATGATGGATTGCCTTGATAACCGGCGCGCTTTAAAAAGACCGCTCCGGATCAAAATTAGAATTTCGCCTAAGCCTAATGAGCCTTCAGTCAGAACTTAATAGGTTGCTTTATGAACTTAGGCATTTTCATCCTCGTTACAGCCAATTTACTTTTTATCAAAGTCGTTCACGGCTTGGTGTCATACAGTTTTACCTTCAAGGGATATGGAAGGTCACCACCAAAGTTAAGATAATAGATTTAATATGCTTTATACCCTCAAGACGTTTAAGATGTTATGACTGCGCCGAGATACCTTATCAGTCTTCGTCAAAGACCGTCCACGGCGACATTGAAAAAAGCTGTTTCTCATTGAGAGACCCGAGCTGCCATGATATTCCTTACGATTTAAGGTGTCATGTTGATCAAAACAGAGTACTTAAAATAAATGTAACATGTTTCCAAAGGATCTTTGTGGCTTTAGGCTACTTAGCTTTCCACGCCATTTCCTCAAATTTAGCGGTTTAGAGTTTCCGTCGGGTTCTTTCAATGCATCAAAACTGAGAAGAAACGTGTCGATGGATTGAATGCGCTTATAACAATACTTTAGCCGGGAAAATCTGCTAAAGCCGGCACACGATCAAGGATTAAATGGCTTGGCAGATTCTATTCACTTGGAAAAAACTAAGGCTATAGATAAATTTAATAACTCGAGCACATGCCGACATGGACTAAACATTTTTTAGCCTGCCAAAACAGACTAAGGCAGGGGTCGCACTAGTGCTTTTAGTGTTTACATTGGACATAGAATCTGTCATAGCATGCTTGCGACAAGTGCGACCCTTTTGTCGCGTCCAGACATAACTATGTCCGAAGGACCTAAAGATCAAACAAGCCGATGTCCTGCCTCAAAGCAGGTCATATCTTGTCTAATGGCCTTAAAATAACAATTTTTTATTTTTCTTCTGTCGTCAACGTCAATCAAATCTGAAATACGGGCAGAAATTGGAGTTTTGTAATTCTGCAAAGGCAACACGTGTGCACTGCTAGCTACAGCTATCGGGTTAAAATTTTAGTCACCGGTTTTCTCTTCAAACGTTTTATCATGGCGAATTTCAACCCAGTAATTGACATCCGTCGACGTCGGTTTAAAGCGGCAAGGGCCAACATTTGCCGTTGGCGAATGTTGTACAATGCGTACAAACCAATAAGGTTTTGTACATTGAACAAATTAAACAGAGATTGAAGAAATGTCGCTAATAAAACTAGCACCAGCCTCATGTCTAAAAATTATATTTGGCGCTCTTTTCGCGCGTGAAATATAAAGAGTTGACAGACTGGTTTCAAATATCATTTATGTCGCGCAAGTGCGACCTCCATGACTCCCGTGGTGTAAATGTCGCGACATATTTATGGGACAACTTATGACGCGACATAAGAAAAATAAGGCCACAGTGCGACCCCTGCCTAAATAGGATCCAGTGGCGACAAACAGGCGACCACCTTATTTTTACTATCTTAGCCACCCACAAATGCTAATGAGTAATAAATAAAGCTAATTCCTCTTAGTAATTTACTTTGTAGCTAAATTTACAGAATCTCATCGGATATTCTGCGTTTTATAACTTGCACAACTTACACTTGGGCTTATTCTCGGCCTAAGTTTAGTTAGTCAAACATCACAAACTAAAAACTGTACATTTCCAGTTTCATAGCAAGAGGACCCACTGGGACAGATTCCAAATGATGTTAATGAGATGGCTCAAATGCACTCCCTCGACAGAAGTAACATTAAGCAATCTAACCCTGTAACTGATCTGTACTTCTTCCTTCTAGGTTCCACACATGTTTTGCAAAGTGGCGTCGAGAATTTGGTGTTAAATCACGATCACACGTATTAGCCATTCGCATCGCTCTTTTTTCAGGGTAATGTTGAATGATATAAGGAGTTTACATGTATATCATTGGAAATTAAATGAAAAATCACTTAAAACTGTCTTTTCTCCATATTTCCACTAAGGGGTTGAATAATTTTTCTCTACTCGTGAGGGTTAGGTTCCCAAGTGTATGAAGAATAGAGAAACTCACTATCATGTCAGTAAACTAAATACAGCGCCCGCTTTTGGGTTTTTTTTGGCTCATTTTACGATATGCATTATACACTTTCAGTTCAACTCGCATCTTTTCCAACCTGAGTAAGTGTGGGCGTCTTGAAAAGACGTGAATGATAATAATAATAACATTTCTCAGTTATTAGCAATGTTCAGCTTCTGAGTCTTTCTAACTCATCGTACCCATATTGCAATGCGTTTATTCGGCACCTGAACAAACTGTGCCCCAAGGAACCCAAACTGAGCCATATCCCAGCGGGCTTTTAGTGGAGAGCCTTGTAAGGTGGCATAGTGGCTCTTGAGCATAACCTCGTTTTCATTATTGTCGAGCAGGCAGGGCTTATGGGCGGATGCAGGAGAGCCGACATGCAGGCCATGATCATAGAAGCGGTATGAGTGCTTCACCTTGTTTCCCCAACATATAATTTTGCCACTAAAGGTCTTGTCCTTGCGAGTGTGCTTGATGATATTCCACGTGTAGTCTACGTTGTCAAGCGTGTACTGACCCCATTCATGATCCACAAACATACTGTTCTTTTTGCTTGGGTTGAATGCAGCGTAGGCATCTTCTGTTGCCGTCCAGTCATTTCCGGAACCAACAAAGGTGAACCGAACAGATTGACGACCAGAAACGAAAAGCATTCGGATGATCGTGTCGTTCAGATGGACTCCAGCATCGACGTTGCTTTTGATTGACAAGTCCACAGTGTCCCTTTGGTGGATATCATGGAACAGGTTGGCATTCAATGGGTTCGTCTTTGATCCTCGGCACATACCACCATCTCTATCAGGACAAACCCAGCTGTAATCATGGGTGACCTTGGCAACAAGGGTCCAACCTCCTCCTGAAGTTGTCATGTCACAATACGCACGAAATGCGTTCCGCTCAGGTTCTGTACCAGCTGGGTTGATCCAGTACATACCATCACCCTGACCCTCACCTTTGAACAATATATCGAGACAGGACTTTCTTGGTGGTGAGTTGCTAATCTCTCCCCGCAGGACAGTCTGCAGTTGTTGCCATTGTTTCCGGCTGCAGAGGAAGAGATGGGAAGATTTTTTGTCGTACCTCAGTTCGCCTTCCGTTCGAGCATCGCAAGATTCGGATGTAGACGATGTAAAAATGTTTTTGCAACTACTGGAGCAGCTGTCTCCTTTATCACCCTGAAAGATAATGATTACAAAACGTTAAGCATTTAGATAAGTCTTTCTTCAGATGAGTGCTTTTTACGTTGCCACCGAAGAATACACACAAGTCTTTATAAATTGGGAGAGACTTGATATCACAATATCGCAGAAATGTTGTGGGACCCGTCCCATTTTTCACCACCAAAGAAAATCCTAGGTTCAAAGCTTCAACAAACATAGAATTATGGAGAGTAAAAAAAGGGGAAACGTTTGTAGTAGGCACGTCAGGAACTATACTTTTTTAATGAAAAATTAAATGTTTATAACCCAGACTAATGCCAAGCAAATACTGGAAAGGATTTCATACGAATTGTTTGCGGGAGGAAGACTTAAGAAACACTTTTAATGTAGTAGTCTCTTTAGAAGTTACATATAATTCAATGAAGCTGTCATTCACTTAGTGTAATGTGAGTGAAATATATACTTTTAAATAAGCCCCTAGTCATTGTCCCCTGTGACGCCAGGGGAAGGATTACAATCTTTTAAGAACCGTAAATGTACGCGTATGCAATTTTAAAACCATTCATTAGTGCGTCAATCACACAAGGTCGTTTTTGGCACAGGTGTAAGCTATTTAAGTCCGATCCATTGTTCATTTTTGAAGCCACTCTAATCTCAGATTTACTCTTTAATCTGTGTTATTCTTAGGATTGTTGCGGGATTGGTCTTCGATTACCTTCCCTTGCCAAATCAACGATTTTTTGAGCTCTCACTAAACTGTTAATTCACCTTTTAAGAACCCAGATTTTACAGCTCTTTGGCTTTTCTTTGGAGTTCTCCACATCCACAAAAAATACAGTGGATGGCCTTTCAGAAAATTTTGAATATTCATTCTAATGCTTAGTAAGAATTTTGTTCCACGAAGACAAAGAGTTTTTATAGACATTGTGAGAAATGGGAAATTGTGATCAGTGACTGAAATTAATTTTTATATTTTTCTTATTGATCACTGGAGGTAAGCTTACTGAAGGATCTTTGGTGACCTCCCACATCGTGCTGCCCACGAAATCCTTCCCCCTTTCTCTTTAGTGCCTTATTAGTCTCCAAGCCCGCGCACCTTTTTTTTAACAAGCTCGAATCCATTTGTAAATATGTAGGGAAATTACTTAGTGCGTTCATTGTCAAGTCGAGTTTGACATTTGCTTCAGGCACTCTAAACTCTAAACTTTCTATGTCTTTCAACTTTTCTACACACGATGATATCAAGACCAATATGTACTCATTAAGTTTTAATGGAGAAGAAGCTCGTTGATGATTTATATTCTAAAGGAAAAGTTATCGATTTCAGGCCTAATTTATCAATTTCAAGAAAACTAACGTCATAAAGTATCAACAAAGACCCTTTAGTAAGATTCACAAAACCGACCAAACCTCCCCATCCATAGATGTAACGAGGAAACTGATTCAACACATCCCTATACTTGAACTTTACACTCAAAAGAGCCTCGCTATAGGTGAATCTAATCCGGATGTGTAGTTTGTTCAGCAAATCTAAGTAATTAAATCCTTCTCGGCGAGTGCTCTGCTATGAAAGCTCTACCAGGTTAACGATAGGCTTTCATGTTCAGGAAAGAGCTTACTAACTACCCAGAAAGGCGTAGCAGCAAAAGCTGCACGAGTAGTAAGGTTGAACTGTATTGCCAGTCCTCTTCATTAAGGCCAGGAAACTTAAACATCTTCCTTCCTTTACTCGGTTTCTCACGCTAATTTAAATTCGGATCTCAGTGGGGGATATATCATGCAAACTTTCGTTTGGTAACTGAAATGATGTATTTTCGCTCACTTCATTAGAGTAATGAAAGATGTAACCTCTAAGAGCTTCTTAACCTTTGGAGGCGTTTGTATTACCCTACAGGAAAGAGCTAAACTGCCTATTGTTACATGACTTTTGAATCCCCAGTGTGGGCTGTAATTTAAGATTTCCTTTGGAAGGAAATTCTTTGCGATTCCATTCTACGAACAAATAGTGATGGACGAAGTTTTGGCCGTCGGTGAGTTGCTTAACCGAAGCCTGATCTATAATTAGTGCAGTACTATCTTAAGTGCTTGTAACAGGCGGATAATACTGAACTATCTTAAAAATCATTTTTCAAACGCTGTTATCAGTAAACTGTGGAAAAATATGTCAGGCGGAATGCATTGGGAAACAAGGGAGCGGACACAGATACGACTATGATATATTTTTAACAGTCAGTACCTTTGCTCAAAGATGGACAAACTAACTATAAAGAAGACGAGCGTCGTTTGATCACTTTTAAGAAGATCACCAACACACTCTGAAATTTTTCGTCCACAGCTTCGTTCGTCGACAGATGGGACAGTTAGTAGAATTCCGAGAAAGGTCAACTCGCACTCCTTTTCAGGCGGGGGTCGCGCGCTTAGAAAGATTATATCTCACTGATAAACCGCTGAAAGTGATATGGTTGTACTCTCTTCACATCCCGACAAAAGCTTATTTTAAGCAGGGTGCAAATTATTTTAAGCTATTTTCCATGTTCCGTTTAAGTGAATAAAATTACCAGCTTGATATAAAGCCAGAACTTCAAACCTAATGATAATTAAATCTGTACATGATAAATAATGAAGTATGTGCGGATGGAATTAAATTCTACCTTTTCGCCCTGGCTGCCTTTCTCGCCTTTCGCTCCCTTTTCGCCCTGGAAAAAGATAAAAAAAAGAAAAGATCCAAGGTTACTCCTATTTTTTTTTGAGGTCGTTGTGATATACGAGTGATTTGGCGGAGAGCAAAAATCTCCGACTGCGTTACACTTGCAAGTTACCTTCGCAGCATGAGTTTAATCAACTGTCATCATGTAGCACATCCCGCGGACAGGAAACAGAAAATTCTGTTCTTAAAATTATAATAAGCGATCCTAAGATGATGACGGAAGGGGATGAAAAGAATTTTTTTGCCAACTTCAATGAAGTCCGCTTCCCTCAGGGCCTTCTAGAATCGGTGCCATCAAAGCTTTGAGTGCAATCTCCGCCTTAAACCTTGCCAGCTTTTGGGAAAATTTCCCAATCTAACCACAACGTTTTTTCAGCTTTCCACTAGGCATTTCCTTTCACAATGTAGCTCTTGTTGCGGTTTTTCCGCTTTATAGTGGTAAGGTCAAAGTCAATACATTTGTTGAAGGAGGGCCACTGAGCTATACTTCGCTATTTGTTGATATCCGCTTACAAATCATATCACAGAACTCTTGAACGAGTGAGGTAATATGACGATTAAGGAACTAAATGAATTCCACGCATACAATGTAAATAACAACTCGAATATAATTGCTGGATAAGCTGGAGAGTGCACGACAACAGCTATGCATAATGCGCCTCACTGTTACCTACCCTCTCTCCTCGCAGGCCGTTGATTCCCGACAAAAACACTTCCCCGAGCTTGATCCTGCCCGAAGATAGCATAAGTTGGCCTCCGTGTTTTGGTTTAAGCGTTAACCTTGCTTCTCTGTTTTGCCTGGGAAGATACGAGCAGATACATTATGTGAGGTCAGTAAAATTAGAAACGAATTACCCGATAATGATTTAGAACCTCATCAAAAGTACATCACTCCGGCACGGGAATGTTAAAGCTGGCCACACGAGCTTGTAGAGGGTTACACGGGCCTCTAGGCATCAGATGTCTTTTGTATAACTTACCCTTGGCGTTTGGATGCCAGTGAAAAATCCCACCAATAAAAGGCGACACATAGCACGGCGATTCCCTGTACTAGCGAGACTTGCATGTTAACTACTGTACAGCATACCTCATAACAAGTGAATGAGAAACTCTGGATCGCAAGGCCTACATTACAAGTAGCCCACTGATTGGCCGATAGAAATGACAAGGCCCCATCACTCAATTAATGATAACTGAAGGAGTGCGGTTCGCAAAATGACATGCTGTACAATCTTTTATTTGTGTAAATAATTAACAGCTCCATAAACACCGGAAATAGATTAATAAATGCACTGATTGAATGCAGGCAATTTAGAGCACATTTCATGCGGCCTTTGTGCTCAGTGTGTTCAAAGCTTATCCTAGCTCAATAGAAGCCTGTTGTTTACTAATTACATCCCCGAGAATTGGTAAAATTAGCCTTTTCAAGTTGATCAAAAATATCGGTTATTTATGCAGTGCACAATCAGAGAAACTTTGGCTGCAACAATTACATCAATGGAACGCGCTGTTGAATTGTGAACATTTTTAAAACTTTGACGAATAATAGAAGACGATTTAAAAGATTTTATCAGCTACTATACCCCGGCTTCACGGTAATGGTTTATAAATGAGCTAAATTAATCACTTTACGCCAACAAAGTGTCTTAGCACTAATTACTGCCGGAAAAGCACTTTACACATCACCTAATAAAAGGAATGAATGCGTGGTGGAAGGGCAATTAGATTACAGCATTTCGCTGGGTTAAAGTTAACGAACATACCGATCCAGCTGTTCATGTCTGCGTTTAGTCTTGATTTTTCTGCATTTCTCTGATAAAAATCAAATTTAAACATGATATCCAGGGTGACGCACACTGCAAATAAGAACTTACGACAGCGGTGATGTCTTGTAAAGTGTTATTGTTTGAATATCTGCTTTATCGCCTCGAGTACTGCGCGCCGCCCCGTTATCCAGTCCTCATTAGATTCAAGAGAAACTCTGACACATTTCCGGAGCAGCTGACCTCTCGTGCGATTACACACTTCGAGAAAGATTGACTACAAAATGTTTTCACGTTTGACCAGTTACATAGTCTCTAAGTCTTTTAAAGCGAATTTTTTCAAATGAATAACAATTATTTGTTTTTGCTTTGCTTTTTTATCTGAAACTAAAAGTCAGCTTTACCCTGAAAGACTGGCTTCAAAAATTCCTCTACATTTGACGCAGTGACTGCGATACCATAAGGTAAATTAGCGGCTTTTTATCTTAAAGGAGGAAAAATTTGACACGTATGACTTACTACTACAATAACAAAAGTGTTTTTATAGTTAACCGTGAAATGTGGGAAAGGAGTCTTTTTTTATGTTTAGGTCACTCGTTTGTGTTTGTTTTGGTAAATCTTTTAAGGTCGACTCCCATAGTTTAGTGCTCGGTATTATTTTTATTCAATTTCTTGACAGAATTATTTCCAACATGATAACCTAGTCTGGATGAGAAGGGTACCGACTCAATAGCGTCTATGCCAACTGGTCTCCAGTAAGCGTTTCACACCATAAGATGTGCACGAGTAACAGACAGGACTGCAGAAGAGGCTGAAAACCAGCGCCTATTGCGCCTACATGAATACATCCTGAATAGGAAATTAAAAAAAAGGAAAGAGTTTAAACCTCATGAGCTCCCCATCATTTGAATATTCAGCCATACAATAAATGCATGAAACGTCTGAAGGGTTTATATCTCACGGGGAAATATGTAAGAACACAAAGGGTAGACAAAATGACGTTCCAACGTCGATATTTTTATTTCGATATCGGGTTTGCAGGGCCTATTCACCCGAAGCTGGTAGTGATATTTGTTACTTTACGCTGAATTTAGAGTATCTCAATTGAACCCTCGGGATATACTTGTGTTATGTTTGCTTTGTAGTGCCCTGTCTTTTATTCTAGAGAATTACATCACCCCCTCAACCAATCAGATCCAATACTATAACGGATAATGGCTCCATTTGGAACTTGCATTTTCTTGAATTTTTTTTACTGTAAGAGTTGGCGTTTTCTCCTCAAACCACCTCCCCGGGGTTTCAATAAGTGCCGGTTCCGCTGATAAGACCTCTTGCCACCGTCTATGTAGCCTATGAGCGGGCTTTCGATAGTGTTTGGGTTTCGCCTTACGACTCCTATCAAAGTACAGCCGCCTATTGAATCATCGGCAGCCGGTTATGGAAAAAGTTATCAGTTGTGACCCTGGACTTCCCTTTGTTGTCATTAGCTGCTGTATGAACTGTGGCTTGATCTTACGATATTTTGTGAAATGTGCTCTATGACATCATCACTTATAACTGGCTGTTAGGAATTCGTTTAGTCATGGAGGTCATAGACCCTTTTATTCTTCACTGTCTCAGACAAAGACACACCCAGTATAGTTTCAGACCATACATAAGAGCACTTCTCAAGAAATTTTCATTTTCCTGCATAGTTGCACGCTAACTGAATTATATAATTGATTAGGGAAAAATTCGAAATAACTTCTTTTGAAATTCTCCTGTTGCAACTTTAAATTAAACAGGCTGAAAATGCCGGGTAGTCTTTTTTCTTGCATCCTGGAAAATACAACCCTTTTAGCTTGCTATCGGCAATTTATCGTGCTATTTTTCATTTCGGAACAAATTTAATATATCTTGTTTTGTTTTGGTCTCTCGTGTGTTTTTCCCTCTTATCGAACTAATATTGCATAGCCTCAAAATTTCGTGATGACGCTCTTTAAGCACCCAAAAACGACTGTTTTTTCCTTCTGCTCCTTAGGGCGACGTACTTGACGGCTAAGAGTCTCTACGGCTTATAACGTCATGGCTATGAGAGAGTAAAAGTATTCAAAAGACTAATGGCTCACGTCTCTCTCTCTCTCTCTCCCTCCCTCTCTCTTTCTCTTTTATTTTTTTATCACGACTACAGTATCTGGCAAAACTTAATCATGCATTTCTTCAAATTCGAAATTCATGATCTTATACTAACAGAGACACAAGGGCGTCAGTGCAGCTGATCATATTCTTACATCGCATGATCTTTGATATCGGAATATACTTCGATTTAAAGCTTGTGTTTTTCTTTCTGTTGTCGTCATGTATTGTAAGCTCTGTCGGTCAGAAGAAAGATTGTCCAAGATCTGTCTATGAACCAATTGTTAAAGGTCAAGGTGGCTGCTTTATAGTGACTGGGTCATTGTTGTTTAGTTGGTGGAGAAGAGGGATAATGTAGGCCAACTAAAATCGGCTTATCCTTGGTGTATGAACCTGTCATGTTCACGAGTGACGCACGTGCACAATAACTGGTGACCAAGAAAAAAGAAACAAAACAAGCAAAACAAAACAAAAAACCTCAACAGGTCTCTACAACAAAACTAAACTTTAAAAATCGACGACGCAGTAGATAAGATTAGGATTTCTGGGACCGTCCGCGACCTTACATCCTTAGGTTTTACACGTTGAGACTGAATAAATCAACGTGATGTTTCCTTTAGTCGGTGAGTTCAACATATTTGAAATTTTTGCTCAATCTGATACAAAGAACTATAACGAAAAAAACTGGCGTATTCCATAACCAATTCTGTAGTTGTGGTTTCCATGAAGGTCTAAAAGTCACTTGAGTCTACAAGCTTCAGTTTACCGGTAAAAATCGATGGAAGCGAATATTAAGGATCTCGGAGTATGCCAATAGAAATCCCTTTTCTTTGATAACAAATTTTAAGAAAAGGCTGATGTAAATTGGTCGTAATTTCCTACAGTGCGACCTGGAGTTGAAGAATTTGAGGCTGTCAGCTGCTCACTCATTTTGAAATATCTTAGGTGTGAACCTCTATGAATGTCAAACCGACTGCGTCTCAAAAAGTGTAAACCACAACTTTATAAACGTGTTTTTTTCAATGTCAAAATAGTAAGGCGAAGCAACTGTGAAGTAGAATAAGGATCAAGGAGAAAGACTGGGGAGAGATTTCACGCGTGCCAAACTCGCACGTTTCACACCATTTTAAACTGTAATCTTTTCGAAGCGTCTTCTTTCGGTTTTAAGACACAGTTTTCGAACAGAAATTCAGCAAACGAGAAAGGATTTTTCTGCAGCCTTCTTCCACCTACACAGCGGATATTGTCTAAGTTCTTTTGTTCTGATTTCATTCAGTTGTTTCATGCGCCCACTCGTTTTTTTCCCCCTCTATTTGTCGATAAAACGAGACCATTTTTCGTCCAAATGTTCTTCCTTCTTTGCAAATCATCGTATACGCAAGTTGTGATAAAGATATCATGCACTTACATACTGCATTTTGTTTCCAAATCAATCAAAGTAGAAAGCACCTGAACGCTCTCTGGGGTAGGCCGGGAAATCTATTGGCGAGCTATAAGTCACTCTCACAAAGCTGTTTTTTAAAAAGGGCTTTTTGTTCTCAATTGTGGACCACCTGGCTAGCGAAAGCTTCTTTTTACGCCCACTTCATACTGACAGTGAATTCACCACAATTGTTGGATTAACACGAATAACCAGACAAAGTGCCTTATAAATAAAAATAGCTGCACCGATAAAACTTCGCTTAAAAGCTAAGTAAGCTTACCCTCAATAAAGTGAGACTGCAGCGGAAATCATGTCATATGACTGACATATTTAAAAACAGCTGAGCTTTGCTCGGGTGCTAAAAAATTATGGTTCTTAGTTACATTTATGTAAGCAAAAAATTGATTATTTGGTTTTGAACTGATTTAAACTTTGATCTGATTCCCTAAAGGATGAACATTTAACATCCCAACTTTCAAAATGCTTGTTATCAATCATATCTGTGGTTACCATGTAACTAACTTCACTCTGAGCAAAGAAAAATTGTAGGCAAATTAAAAATTATGCCAATTGTGCGTTCTACGGAACGCTCGAGGATCATCTCGCAAATTGGTAATCGAGTAACTGCACTGAATGAAACATGTCAAAACACGTTTTGTCCAGAGTTAAACGTACAAATGTAACATAGTTGATGGAAATAACTCTGTTTCACTATTGTTATACTATAAAAGTTTTCAACTTAAGCCTTTTTCATTTGTTCTGAATATTAAGAGTATGTGATTGGAGAATTCAAACTATTCTCAATTGAATGAAGATATCTCTCGTGATGAAGC